GGTTCGGTCATCATATTTTTCTTTGATATGGGCACCCCAACTAGTATCTCAATACCTGCTGAAGTTGATGCTATCAATGCGTCACCGGAGGTGGAAGCTATCGCCTAATTACTTGATACCACTCCAGAAGTTTAGGGAAGTGCAAGTACATGTTCGGCTATTTCCTCTAAGTTGGCAAACTCAACTTGCATTGCTTCTTGCCTGGCTTCACTTGAATATACCGATTGTTAACTTATTCCTCCATCATAGATGATTATCCTATTGTCTTCTATAAGATCTTCGATAAGGAACTCAAAATCGGTACCCTCATCTTTGTCACCCTCAAATTCGGCACAACAATCCTCTCAAATATTTCTCTCCAATGCTAAGTGTTTTATCTTCTACCCTAAGCAAAGACTTTATACCCTCGTGGCATACTGACGCCTCAATTCATGAGCCAATGCACATCATTGCAACTTAACTACCCGTAATGAGGCTTCTTTTCCAGCACTAACGACCTTCATTACGATATGATTACTCAAACTATTTCTACCACGTGGCAGGCATTTGATTACCAACCTTTGAACTTTCTCAACATTAGCACGACTTGCACGTAGTCTCCCTACCAATTGGCAAGATGTATGTTGATCGTGTAGGAGAATCTCTCGGCACGATGCATGTCGATCGTGTAGGAGACTCTCTTGTGTGAGATGCGCGTAGTCTCCCAACCGATTGATAAGACGCGTGCTGATCATGTAGGAGACTCTCGCACGACATGTGTGTAGTCTCCCTACTAATCGGGAATACGCATGCTGATTGTGTATAAGACTCTATTGCGCGACTAGCGCTCTATGTCTTAATTCACCTCCGGTTACCTTAATGTCAAAGTAACTTCTAGATTGCAAACTTGGGGGGACTTAGGATTTACCTCTGGCATAACCACTCGGTAGGATTATTTGACATTTTACAAGTTCCCAACCCAGAAGCCACTTTTCGATCGACAACTTGGGGGACTATTGTTTGTACTATAATCAACCAAGCACATTCGACATTGGGGGACTGGTACAGAGACAGATCCACAAACTACCAAAAAGGAGACACCCCAAGAAAACCTCTAACTTAGAGTATTGATGACGTCATCACAACTAAAGGTACGGAAGAGACATCTTTCTCTGATAAGGCAACAGACTATCGAAAGCCAAGCCCGCAGAACTTAGACCTTGGGACACGTGTCACTACCACAATTTAGACCTTGGAACACGTGTCACTACCACAATGATTTGCCCAAAGTCCAACATCAAAACTTTGGGCAAATATCCACTTCCCTTTTTCTATAAAAGGGGAATAGTGCTAAGGTAAAAAGGTAACTACTTGTGACCCTTACTCTTACTGTGCCAAAATTACAACTTACCTCATACTTTCTGACTTTTGACCTTTACCCTTACAACACTAGTGCCCGAAGCTGGATAAATGCTTGTCTCATTTCCCTCGACAAGTTGCTGCTAAAGGCATCCTTACCAAAGGTCCTCACCATTCAATCCTTGCTGAAGACTTCATACTTCATCATTCTAAGTTGATTCTTGGCTTGGACAAGAACAACATTTTTCTAAGCATTACATGGTATACTTCAAATGAATTCTAAGTCCCTTTTGATTGAACCAGAGGTTCGAAATTAAATTCTAAGAATAGACAACACGACCTCAATGAAAAATAAATTGTAACAATTTTATAAGTACATCGTACACTTCAAATGAATTGTAAGTCCCTTTTGATTAAATCGAAGGTTCAATTTCAACTCTTAAACCTTGATTGAAGACTGTAGATTGTGTTTGTGCTCTCATCCCAACTTTGGTTGCTCTGTCCAAAATTATGCACACCTTAATGCCCCAAGAGGAAGCTTCACTTTGGTAGCATCCAAAAGAACAAGAACTCGTTCCTTGGTGTCAGCTAATAAGCCCATAAATTTACACATTTATGTACCCTTTATACTTAGTTTTTTTAGGAGAATTAGATTTAAAAAGGACTTATTACTTTATTTTCTCCATTTTCAGGTTTCCTGAGCAGTTAGTTGATTTTCAACAAAATACGACTTTTTTTGGTAGAGTTTTTGTGTAAGGCCAGTTAGAGATTGAAGCTAAGACCCCGAAGATGATTGTGGAATGTTTCTAGAATTTTCATAGCAGCCAATGAGAGCAGTCTTCGAACTCAAGTCAGCATAAGTGCAATTCCATTAGATTTGAGTTACTGTCCAAAAAAGGAAATTTGAAGGGCTTCCTGATTTTTTTTCTCAAGGTGTGTGATATATGGTTGGAAAGATAAGACAAAACTCCAATTTACATATTTTCCCCGAGGAGAAACGACTCCAAACGTGCTTGTTAGGAAGAGAAGTCAATTACTTACCCGTTTTGGGTTTATGTTTTAATTGGGTTTTTCTTTATTTTTGGGCTGCTGTAAAAGCCCAACTAGGTTAGGAATAGTCTTGTGGTGTTTTGTTTAAGCATGAGAAACAACTCCTTTGGGTTACGTAAAGACTTAGAGAAATTGGAGACGTTGGGAGAGTACCGCAATTGGCTAAGTTTTATTATTTCTTTTTTTATGTTTTTGCTTATATTGAATTCTATGATTATGTGTAATTAATTTTCTTTTGCTAGGGCATGATGTAGCCCTAGTATGATAATCTAGTTTTCTTATTTTACCTATCTATTGATTGCTGTTTGATGTTGGATTCTTAATCATTGTGCTTAATAACTTGGTTGATTATCTTGATGCTTGATCACCATATAAACTTTTAATTGAGTTAATTGGATGCAAATTAGAGTAAATACCATACTTAATTTGAGGCTTGCTTCTTGTGATTAAGATTTGTAATTCGTCTAGGGTAAATACCATACTCCTAGGATTTACATGCTTGTTGGAGGTTCTCACTAATCTTAATGAGTTTCTACATGTTGATATTTGACCTAAATACCATAGGCGAATTGCATTTAGGAATATACGAGTTAGCCTAAATACCATAGGTAATTCATGAAAAAGGAAAACTAAGCGGTGACATCAAATGGTTAGTTAATAGTAGGTGAATAAGAGGCTAGATCGGATTACTAGTGGTGAATTCAATGTCCTAGTGCTTTTATCAATTTGAATTTCTCATCTTTGTGTTTCATGGCTTTCTACTTGTTTTGTCTTTTGATTTGGTTGTTAATTAAATCACTCATTCAAATTTGTGTTTACGTGTTTAATTTCTTGTTTATATAATTAGAGTAGTTAATGTATTTTGTAAGTAATTAGGTTAGACTAATTGGAAGTTGAACTCAATCCTTGTGAAAATGACCTCGTATTTGCCATACTAAATTACGATTGACCTTGTGCATATGAGTATAATTTGTGTTTAGACTAATCTTTATAATTACCATTTTGTAGGTTGTCTAAAATTCACAACATCAGCTATTGTTAGACTTTTCAACCATCTCATCTGCTCAACAAAAAAGAAAAGAAAAAAACCAGAAGTAATTAATGCTACCAAATAAGAAAACAGTGGCGGATCCATGAATTTTCATTCCGGGGGTCAACGTGTAGATGGTTAAAAAAATTATATACAAAATAGACCTATCGAAATGAAATGATATATTCTAATTCATAGTTAATAGATAAAACCATACAAAATACTCATGTTCATTATCAAAGAGAACTGCATCAACTTCAAGAAATAGACATACATTGCAATAAACCAGAAATATCTCTAAGAATGTGATAATAAACCAAAAAATTAGCGCAATCCTCTTTGCCTCCCAAGGCGTTCCATCCTATTTGACGTAAGAGCTGGCGTATATTAGTGCAATCCTGCTCATTTCAGGGCATTTACGTCATTTTTGAGGTTTGTCGTCGTTTTGATTTTGAGCTTTATCTGCATTTCTTTTGGGCTCTAGCTTTCAAACCTTGGACCTTTATGAGTACTGTCTTAAGGGGAGCTTATTCAAGCAAATATTTCTTCAATATGTAAGAGTTAGGTTATTCTTGTAAAACTCTTTGTGGATTGAACATCTTAGGCTTCCTAGATTGACCTTAGGTCCCTTTATGCATTCATATCAAACATGAAAAATTGTTTTATGTAAAAATATTGGCTAAGTATGAAAAATGGTTTTTCCGAATAATCATTTTCTCAAGATAATTTTTGGCGGCTTTTATTCCTTACACATCAAATAAGAAAACTTGTTTTTATGGAATTTTAGTATGAAGTATATATTGACATAATGAGCCATCATTTTTAGCCTAAATTGTATTTTGCACTAAAATCGATTTTTCATATTTTGATTTGGTGGGAATTTGATTTTCTAGTATTTTTATTTGAATTCAAATAGGGGGTACCTCCTTATTTACATTGTAAACTTAAGTAAATGGAGTAATATAAAAATAAATGAAAGTAAAAGGACTTGAATATTGAAAATGGAAATAAGGTAATATGCTGTGCTGGTGTGCTGCACCCTCTGGAGCATTTCATCAAGCAGTTTGTGGGAAATTTGTAGGGGTCAACATCTGTGCCTCAAATGGAGGATTCCGGGCTTGCAGGGGTCAATTGACCTCTCTTATTCCTATGTGGATCCACCCCTGTAAGAAAACAAATAAAATTAATCTTCACCTGAGAAAAGATTGAAAGATAGTTACATCATGTTGTTTGATAGCTCCAGAACTGATGTAGCGGACTGGTTCAGCACCCATTCAGCAAAAGATTAACAGTGTGATGTACAACCCCCATTGATTTCTTCTGCCCACAACTCTTTTATTGGTTATGTGTCCACAAGACTTTGGAGCATAGTGCAAGTACATAGATACATACCTTATTCAATAATTTCTTCTTATTCTTTTTCTCATTATCTGTTTTTGATACTAACCTTGGAAGATATAAATTAGATTTTGTATAGGATAGGTTGTAGTCAACACTCTACCTAATTGGTGAGTTGTGATTACCACCTTTTCCTTGATTTAAGGTTTCCTTGTAATTAGTGTTGGCCTTTACAGCTTAATTTATGGGTATAGTCTGCGGTGAGGGTAAAGCCTGTTGTCTGGTGGTTTTTTGCCCTCACTCAATCTCTCTATATATTTGTGTATTGTGTAATTCTCCTCATGATGAAATATACAAACATTCATTGAAAATGAACATGGTATCAGAGCAGGAACCTTAACCAGCTTGTCTCTACATCTTTGCTTCTCATTTTCTACTTCCTTTACTATTCACTAAAAGGCAGAAGAGAATCCTTTTAGTCAGGAGGCATAGAGCTCTTCTGTTCTCTCTCCTTCAAATCCTTCTGGGATTGATGTCAACCCAAATCAACGTTTGAGTTCAGTGTTACTGAACGAATTCAATTACCTTCCTTGGTCGGGAGCTGTTACACTTGCTCTTGGTGGAAGATCAAAGCTTGGCTTCATTAATGGGAATTTTGAAGCTCCTGATGTTTCTTCACCCAATTATGAATCCTGGCTATGCAAAGACCAATTGGTTATGTCGTGGCTTCTCAACTCTATGGAGTGGAAAGTTGCTGAAATTTTCAGCTTTTACGAGTCCTCTTTTCATCTATGGGAGGCTATCAAAGAAATGTATGGCACTCAAAACAATTCTACCCATGTTTTTCAACTCAAGAAAGACATTGCAAGCCTTCAACAAGAGGGTAAGCCTTTTATCCAACTTCTTGGTAGCATGAAAAGCATGTGGAATGAGCTTGAGGTATATCGTCCGCACACTACTGACGCAGCTGTGATGCTGAAAAGATATGAAGAAGACAAGATCTTTTAGTTGTTGGAAAGTCTAAGTTCAGAGTATGAAGATCTCCGCAGCCACATCCTTATGAATTTAGATCTTCCATCCTTTGCAAATGTGTGTGCCACAATTCAATGAGAAGAGATTCGTAGGAAGGTCATGAACATGGAGACCAAGGCAAATACATTTGAGGCTAGGGCGTACATGTCCAACAACAAGCATGCTGAAGAAAGAGAGTACAAGGGCAAGAGGCCAGATTTGAAGTGCCATCATTGCAATAATACTGGGCATGTAATAGAACGATGCTGGATTCTATAACCAGAATTGAAGCCTAAGTTTGCAAAAGATACCAAGGGTGCTCAGAAACGTTCACAGAATTCAGGCTACAAGGCGAATCATGCAACTTCTTCTACTGATGGGCCTTCAAACTTCACCTCGAATCCTGTTTCACTCATTAACGAGTTTGCTGCCTATCTTCAGAAAAAGAATGGGGGTGATGAAAGTAAAGGAGTGACTAATTCTAGGAGCGAGAACTCAATTGCCTTACTTGGAAAGTTTGCTGGATTTCTTGCTAAATCTGACAAGTTCTGGCATGAAGATATACCAGGTATGTTGAATACTTTCTCAACTGCCTTAAATGCTAGTAAAGTGCATGATTTTTGGGAAATAGATTCAGGTGCCACTGATCATATGATAAATAAAATTACAAATTTGTATGACTTTGAAAAAATGACCAAACCCTCCCAAGTATTAGTTGCAAATGGTAAGGGTGTGTCGGTTGTGGGTAGAGGAAAGATCAAACTGATCTCAGAAAATTTTGAGTAAATGGCTTTGTATGTCCCCTCCTTTCCTTTTCAATTACTCTCGGTTGGAAGAATCACAAACTCCTTGAATTGTCTTGTTGTTTTCTCTCCTCATAATGTTATTTTTCAAGATCTAGTCACCAAGAAGACGATTGGTGAAGGGTTCTATTTAAATGGACTCTATTACCTCTCAAAGGATTTTCAAAATCGCAAGGGATTTCATGTAGAGTCTAACCTAGCTCAAGATCAACATTTGTGGCATTAATGTCTAGCTCACCCCTTAGAAACTGTTTTGACAAACTTGTTTCCGAGCTTGTGTAAAAATTCGATCAAATGTGATACTTGTCATTTGTCGAAGTTTGCTAGGTTACCTTTTAATTTTTCCGTGTCTAGAGCTAGAAAGCTTTTTGAAATTGTACACTCCGATGTTTGGGGTCCAACTTTTGAATCGTTCGATGGTTATAAATATTTTGTGACTTCTGTCGATGATTTCTCTAGAGTTACTTGGTTGTATCTTTTGAAATTTAAAAGTGAAGTTGTAGATGTGTTCAAAGACTTTCATAATCTTGTAAAGAACAAATTTTCAACTCAAATCCAAACTCTAAGATCAGATAATGGCACTGAATATATGTCTCATATCATGACACAATACTTGAGCACACATGGGATCATTCACCAAACAAGTTGTGTTGGTACACCCCAACAAAATGGGGTAGCCAAAAGAAAAAATCGAGATTTACTTGAGAAAACAAGGGCCTTAATGTTTCAAATGAATGTTCTCAAGAAATTTTGGTCTCAAGGAGTTCTCACCGCTGCATATCTCATCAATCGGTTACCTGGTAGAGTGTTGGATTTCAAATCTCCTTATGAAGTTATGAAAGGGAAGGAAATTAATTTATCCCATTTGAAGGTGTTTGGATGTACTTGCTTTGTTCACATTCAATCTTCTCATCATGACAAACTTGATCCAAGGGCTGTCAAGTGCATATTCATGGGATATTATCTCAAAAGGTTATAAGTGTTACAACCATAATTCTAAGAAGCTGATTGTGACAAGAGATGTCAAGTTTGATGAAACCACCTCATTATATAGCAAGTCTCCTGAAAGTTCTAGCTAGGGGGAGCATTTTCTTGATCTCAAGCAGATTCCTCCTTGTTTATTCGCATTGGATTTGTTGGAAAATTAGTTGTCCTTATATATGTTGATGATCTCATCATCACGGGGATAATGGTGAAGAGATTACCAATCTTAAACACTCTCTTCGTCAGAAGTTTGCAATTAAAGATCTAGGAGTATTAAAATACTTCCTTGGGATCGAAATGGCAACTTCACACAAAGGACTGTTCTTAAACCAACACAAATATGTGCTTGATTTACTTCAAGAAGCAGACATGATCAACTCCAAACCTGATTGTACCCCACTTGACAGCAAACTGAAAATAGACATGGAAGGCGAGTCTGTCAACAACATCAGCCACTATCAAAGGTTAGTTGGAAAGCTCATCTATCTAACTATCACAAGACCTGACATTACTTATGCAATCAGTCTTGTGAGTCAATTCATGCATTCTCCCACTATGGCTCATCTTAATGCTGTCAAAAGAATGAGGTATTCTCATGAAAAAAACTGATACCACTCAAATCATGGGGTACACCAACGCGGATTAGGCCGGAAATGCTATCGATCGAAAATCAACCACTGGCTATTGTACATTTGTTGGAGGAAACTTAGTCTCATGGAAGAGTAAAAAGCAAAATGTAATTGCTCGTTCAAGTGTCGAAGCTGAGTATAGGGCAATGGCCTCAACTGCTTGTGAACTCATTTGGTTAAAAGGTTTTCTCTCTAATTTGGGGTTTCACAGTAGCCAATCTATGTATCTCTTCTGTGACAATCAAGCAGCCATGCACATCGCTTCCAATCCTGTGTTTCATGAAAGAACAAAGCACATTGAAGTCGATTGTCATTATATTCGTGCTCAAGTTCAATCCAAGGTGATAGAAACTGTTTACACTTGCAGTCATGACCAACTCACAGATATCTTCACCAAAGCTCTCTCTTCTAGTCAGTTTCAACGGTTACTAGTCAAGCTTGGATAAATTAATTTACTTGATCCAGCTTGAGGGGGAGTATTGAAGATATTTTGGAAGATATAGATTAGTTTCTGCATAGGATAGGTTGTAGTCAACACTCTACCTAATTGGTGAGTTGTGATTAACACCTTTTCCTTGATTTAAGGTTTCCCTGTAATTGGTGTTGGCCTTTACAGCTTAATTTGTGGGTAAAGTCTGTGGTGAGGGTAAAGCCTGTTGTCTGGTGGTTTCTTTCCCTCACTCAATCTCTCTATATATTTATGTATTGTGTAATTCTCCACATGATGAAATACACAAACATTCATTGAAAATCAACAAACCTCAATCCTACACTTTTTGTGGCCTTTTAAATTAGGCTTAGGATAATCGCAGATAGGAACGACAAACTGGTTTCCCCTAAGCATGCACACAGATTCGTCCATACCTGCAAAACAACTTTTACTTACATGCTACACAAACTGAAATATGACTAAAATATGACGCTACCAGTAGAATATAAAAGGCATGTCTACGCCCCCAGTCATCAGAATCGACTTGTACAATCAACTTTGGGTACATGTGAATGAGAAACCTCGCACCTCTTAGGGAAAACGCGAGGCGCTGTACAATCCTAGTAGCATCATCGTCCATACCTGCGGGTTGCTCACGGTCACGAATTGGGCTATAGTATTGGGTCTTGGCTAAAAAATTCGTCATCTGAAAACTTCTCTCTGCTTGCATCGGCTGCTAATTTCCTAAAGATGATCGACACCATGAGTTCCACTGCTTGTTTAAGCTTAGTAGCATCCCTCACCTTCTTATCGCCTAAAACAAAGTGATCTTGAAACATGAAGAGAACGCATGCCCTCGCCATCTCAATTTTCAGGCCCAAGTTCACATCCTGGCCCATTAACTTTATTAGAGTCTCGAGAATATCATCTGCCCTTCCATGGATCCCTTCTTTAATGCGATGGGTGCTAAAATATGAATATGGTTTGAATACTTTGGGTTTAGTTTTATTCTTCTCCATAAAGAGGTATATATAAAAGTTTACAGGGTGCTATACAAGGAATTAGATACAGTAAAGAATTAGGAAAGTATTGTTGAAGAATACACGAGTCCCACATCGGAAACTTAACAAAATAGAAAGTCCCATATAATAAATGGTTCCACTCCTAATAACATCGAGGCCTTTTGTATAAAAACCCCACACCTGCTAAACAGGTGATTAAGTTGGGGACAATATCGATGTTGCTAGTGGTGGGCCAAGGGTCTGTCCCTTTGAAATATTGACATGGTATCAGAGTGGGTCGGTTGACTGGGCCCGATTAAACCCAAATCAAACAAACTCAAATCAAACAAAAAAACCCCAAATTGAATAAAAAATCAAACAAACCCCCAATTTAAAAATTAAAAAAGAAAAGAAAAGAAAAAAAGTGACCGATGTGGAATTGGTTGCACGTGTGGCCCACTAAAAAGTGGTCCCATGCATCTTCTTGGGATATGTCAATAAACATAGCCCTTTCACTCCCCCTCCCCCTCTTGAAGAGGAGGGGAGGAGAGCACTTAAATTTCAAGAAGAACGCAAGCACAGGTCACAAGAGAACCTGGCTTTGATACCATGCTAAAATATGAATATAGTTTGAATGTATTAGGTTGTGTTTTATTCTTCTCCATAAGGAGGTATATGTAAGAGTTTACATGTAGGTCTTACAAGGAGTTAGACATAGTAAAGAATTAGGAAAGTATCTCCTAATTGTACAATGATTTATCACTTATATAAAAATAGGAAAGTAAATCCCTTAATTAATCAATGAAGTAAATGGCGTGTGGAGGTAGCATGACAATTATTTCGAATTGCTTATGTATGGTGGTAGCGGCCTTCACAAGAGCTTCAAACAATTCAAATGAGGGATTGTCTTTCTATCTTGGATCCTTCTTGAAAACTAAACAACAGGGTTTAGGGGAAGAAGTGCTTCGGTGAGCTCATCCTTATTGGTGACGCCCAGCATCGCCTCGCCCACTTGTTTTTCGGCCTTATAAGTTGACTTACAGAACTTACGGAGAAACTCAATGAGGTGTGGGTGTTTTTGGGGCATCCCTCCGGTAAATAACATGACCATTATTTCCATCACTCCGTCTTTTGTTTGACTCATTATCTAATGTAGCCGACATCCTCTCCTTGATCAACCCTAAATGGCAGGGAGACTAAGATATTTGTCTGGTGTCCTTAACGTTTGTTTTTTAGTAAGGGCATTTTTTGAATTTATTGAAAATGTAACCAAGTTATTGGATTTATTTAGTGAGGAATGCTATCTACCTTCCTTCTTAGGCTCTTTACCTTCTCCTTTCTACTACCTTCTCCCTTTTTTGTGTGCTATGTGTCACTCCTTTAATCCATTGAAATGATTAACTATGAATTTTAGCTTATGATGAAAACTATATATGCATATAATTAATGCACAATATTCGACCAATTTTCTTAAAACCAGTCCAAAGAAAACTCTCCTTCGCTCTTTAACCCTCCTTCGCTCTTTAACCCAAGGTTGTGTGACGGTGTATGCTCTTTATTCTCACCATTGTAGCCCATTTCTCCTCTATGACACATTTCATATTTATTTTATATTTTTTTACATTAGAAAGATGTAAATTTGGGTATGAAGGTATGTTGATTTGGCCAAAATTTGCAAAGCAAAACCCAGAAAGAAGTTTCTATATTTTCATAGCTTCGGTAAAAATGCAACAACCAACAAAAGAAAAAAAAACTCCAGTTTATACATGTAGGTTCAATTGCTCAATTTAGAGAAGAAGAAGAACATAACATGATGGGTGCCAGAGATTTAAGTAATATAGAGATGGTCATATATAATGCAACGTGATTGAAAACAAAATGTAGAGCCTCTGCAACAGCAAAAGGGGACTCTCTCTCTCTAAAAACTAGACGCAACGTCTCGAATATACTTGAAAAAACTCAAGATCTTTTCAAACGAGCTTACTTGATATTAGATAACCAGTTGACGACTCATGCATTTATTTTTTGTTGCTCTGCCATCTTCATGGTATGATTTCTTTTAAATGATCAATTTGAATTTATGTATTACTTGAACTGGATAGAGAAATCTCAAGTCTTTCTTGTATTGTAATCGGTGTGTTCAATTAGTTAAATGGAGAAATCTATGACTCTTGTCTTTCTTTGCTATCAAGCTAAAATTGGATAAAGAGATCTTGAAGTTTGTCTTAGTTATTTTATCAAATATTTGCTAATTTAACTGTTCTCACATATATTTCCGAAGAATAGTTTACTTTCCCGCCTTTATATTATTCAAGTCTATTATTCGGACTCAAAACAGAGGTCTAGGCCCGAATAGTGCTCTGCTAGTCCTAGAATAAGGGCTAGTTCAGGCTTGAACTATATCTTTGGGCCCAACTTGATTGAAACTTTGACCCAATCTAGGGTTCAATTCGGATTTAAGATAGGTTTCTAAACCCAAATAGGGTAACATTAATCATGACGCTGGTTTCCCTCTTGTTTGATAAGGTATTGTTCATATCTATCAAACTGACAACACAAAATGAAATAATATGAAGTCCTCTTGATTGAGGCATAGAAAAGAACTTATCCAGGCCATTGGCCCCCTTGGAGCAGAATGGCTTGAGCAGAAGTCCAAAATAAGCGCAAATCCAATAAGTTTATATCCTACACTACATATACTAGATTTATTGGGCTGGTCTCATACCTAGTAGAGGCACGCCTACGCAATTCATGATTAGGACATAAGGAACAAGTGGTTAAGGCCCAGCCTAAGTTCACCCTTTCTTGTCAACTTGATCCAACTTTCAATTTTGTTCAGAAGTAGATAGAATCCCCTCGCATGCCAGAAATCTAATCGGGGCATTTGTGTTGACCCAACGACCTTCCCACTCTCCAGAGTGGCTCGATCTAAAGTATAACAAAAAGAGTGCTGTTGGGAAAAGGGGCCAACATGTTCATTTGCTCAATTTAGAGAAGAAGAAGAATAAGAAGAAGAACATAACGGGGGTAGGTGCCAAAGATTTAAGTAATATAGAGATGGTCATATGTAATGCAACGTGATTGAAAACAAAATGTAAGCTTCAGCCTACAGTGGTGACGAAGATTTCTAACGGTTGGCAAAACAAAGGGGAGCTCGCACATCCTTGGATTATTTATTTATTTTCTTTCGAAGTTATTAGTTGAAAGGTAGAAAGGAGAAGGTAAGAGAGAATGTAGATAGCATTCCCCCTTATTTAGTAGGGAGTGAAAGATATGTGAGAACTAAAAGATAGCTTTGAAAATAAGAAGACAATAGAATTGCTGAACTGAACTTATTATGCATTGACGGAAACATGCTCTTCTTATAAAGGAGCATACAAACAACTAATAGCAAATAAAGAGGAACAACTAAAACACTTCTAACAAACTCCATCAATTAGAGGGATTCCTAAAGACTAGGAAAGAAAACAACTGACTCCTATAAAATAGGAACTAACAATTATGCTATAGAAAACATAATTAAGATAAATCTCAACATCCTCCCATAAACTGAATGCCATAAGACATCAATTTAAATAAAAAAAACGCATCACAGTTGCTGTTAAACAATATCCTTGGCAGAGCAAATTCCCAACATCTTCATGAGCTTTAAGAACACTGGCAACTTGAGAGGTTTGGTTAGGATATCTGCAGCTTGGTCTTCACTTCTACAAAAGATCAAATCAATGGTACCATCATTACACAGATCACGTAGGAAATAGAACCTCACATCTATATGCTTACTTCTTCCATGCAAAATTGGATTTTTGGACAGCTTGATTGCAGAAATATTATCACAGAACATTGGTGTGGGATTTGGCTGATTAAAATTGAGCTTTCCAAATTGCTTCCTTAACCAAACAACTTGGCATGCACAAGATGCTGCAGCAACGAACTCTGCTTTAGTAGTCGATAAAGTCACAATTGACTGTTGCTGATCCTATTGTAAAAACATGTCTTGATGTGCTCCTCCTATCATCCAAGTCTCCAGCATAATCGCTTTCGCTAAAGCCAATCAAACCACCCTTTGTACCCATTTTATAAAGTATGCCAAAATCAGAAGTTCCTTTTAAATAGCGAAGGATCCTCTTTGCAGCAAGTAGGTGTAGTCTTGTAGGACATTCCATATAACGACTGATGAGGCTGACAACATGCATTATATCTAGCCTGGTGGCTATGACATACATTGAACTTCCAACAATTTGTTTGAAGAGGGTGCTGTTTACTTTCTCTCATTCAGGATCCTTTGTTAGCTTCAAACCACATTTAGTAGAAGTGCCAACAGGATTGCAATTGGACATCTGAAACCTGTCCAAAATAGTATGAACATACTTCTTTTGGGATATGAAATTCCCAGCAGGAGATTGCTCTACTTCGATGCCAAGGAAATAATGCATCAAACCAAGATAAGACATTTCAAATTCTGCCATCATGGATTTCTTGAAAACATCAATCATAGTCATATCACTGCATGTATAGATTAAATCATCTACATACGAACAGACAATAAGAATTTTTCCATATGCACCAGTTTTAGTAAGCAACGTGTGTTCATAAGGACACTTTTGAAAACCTTCTTTAGTAAAATAAGCATCTATACGGCTGTACCAAGCTCTAGGTGCTTGTCTCAGCCCGTATAATGCTTTTCTCAACTTCTATACCTTCCCTTCCTTTCCGGGTTACACATATCCTGGAGGTTGATCGACATAGACTTGTTCTTGTAAACTCCCATGTAGGAACGCTGATTTCACATCCAGTTGAAAGATGAGCCATGAGTTTTGTTCTACTAGTGAAAGTACCAGTCTGATTGTATCCATCCTAGCGACCGGAGTGAACACTTCTTTATAGTCAATGCCATACTTTTGCTTATATCCTTTAGCCACCAGCCGTGCCTTATATTTGTCAACTCCACCCTCCTTGTTCAGCTTCATTTTATAGACCCATTTTACACCAATCAACTTCTGCCCTTCAGGAAGATCTATCAACTCCCATGTGTTATTTCTCTCAATGGAACTAATTTCCTCATCCATGGCTCTTTGCCATTTGGTTTCTTTGTGAGCTTCTTGAAAAGTTACAGGATCAAAGTCTGTAAACAGTGCAAAATAAGTCAGCCCATCATCTTCGGATTGATCATCATCACAAACCTCATAATCCATCATCCATGATGGCCTTTTCTTTGTGCGTTGGGGTTGAAAACTAGATGGCTGGCTGTCATTAGAGGGCTGCAATTGCTCTTCAGTTTCTGTGCTTGTTGGTTCTTCATAAAAAATAACAGAAATCTGCTGCTGCTGCTGCTTTGAGCCTTTATCTGTCCAGTCCCATATTGTTTCTTCATCAAATAATACATCACGACTGATGATGATCTTCCTGGTGGCGGGATTGAACAATTTATAGGCCTTTGAGTGCTCACTAACCCCAAGAAAAATACACTTTTCTCCTTTATCATCAAGCTTCTTCCTCTTGTCATCGGGAACGTGAACATATGCTATACAACCGAAAATTTTGAAGTAACTTACAGCTGGTTTGTGACCATTCCAAGCTTCTTCTGGCGTCATGTTTTTGACAGCAAGAGTCGGACTTCTATTTAAGATGTAAATACACCAATTTACTGCTTCTGGCCAAGACGTTTTTGGAACACCACAAATTTTTAGCATGCTGCGAACCATGTTCAAGATTGTTCTGTTCTTCCTTTCACAAATACCATTATGCTGTGGTGTATACGGTGCCGTTAGTTGCCTTCAAATTCCATGTGTCTCACAGAAATTCTCAAATTCTTGTGAGATGAATTCTCCACCACGATCAGTTCAAAGAACTTTTATATTTCTTCTGACTTCATTTTCAACAAGGGCTTTAAAGCTTTTAAAGGCTGAGAAAGCTTCAGATTTTGCCTGCAAGAAATACACCCAGAATTTTCTACTGTAGTCATCAATGAACGTAATGAAATACCTCTTGCCACCATTGGAAGTTGGATTGATGGGTCCACAAATATCTGAGAAAATAAGCTCCAAAGGATTTTTGGCTCTCCATGCTTTTCCTTTCGGAAAAGTTTCACGATGCTGCTTCCCAAGAACACATTCTTCACAAATTTGAGTTGGACAATCAATGTTTGGAAGACCTCTCACCATGTTCAGTTGTTGTAGAGTCTTCAATCCCTTGAAATTTAAGTGGCCATAAAGATAATGCCACAACCAAACTGTCTCCTTCACTTTGGCAAAAAACAAGTCTGGGCCACACTTTGAATATGCAGAGGAAACATACGATTTGGTGTCATTTTGACCTGTGCAATGAGTCCCTTCTTTGAATCTTGAATCTGACACATTCCTTCTTTAATTGTGATCTCACACCCTTTTTCCTGAAGCTGCCCCACACTTAATAAATTGCTTTTTAAATCTGGAACATAGAATACACTAGAGATGGTTTGTGTAGTGTTATTCTTAGTCCATATTGAAATATTGCCTTTTCCCATAACAGAAATTGCTGAATTATCACCAAAATGAACAGTAGATCAAAAAGACTCATCTAAGTAAGAGAATGATGACTTGTTACCACTCATATGATTACTACATCCTATGTCAATGTACCATACATCCTGATGAGTGTTCTCCATGGCTTGACATACCAGCAAAAGCGTAGCTTCTTCTTCTTTCTCTGTAAAATTGGATTTTTCTCCATTTTCTCTATTCATGTTAGTGCGGCATTCAGAACGGTAGTGACCATACTTACCACACCTATAGCACTCAATATTTGATTTGTCAAGCTGTGACTCATGATAGCTTTGGTGTTTGTATCGATCTTTGCCATTGCCTTTGTTGCTGGAATCATAATTTCCTCTGTTGCTGAAATCATGATTTCCTCTGTTGCAGGAATCATGATTTCCTCTGCCGCTGGAATCATGAGCACCTCTGCCTCTACCTCGTCCACGGCCTCTGCCTCGACCACGTCTGGAACCTCTCCATGATGATGATGGGTCGTTGCTGGTGGAGACTTTTAAAGCTTTCTCTTCTTTTGAAGTGTCATGACTTTTGAATTTCTGCTCATGTACCAACAGTGAACTTTGCAATTCATCTAATGACATTGTTCCAATGTCGTTTGCTCCCTCAATTGCACAAACAACATAGTTAAACTTTGGTGACATTGAACGCAGAATTTTTTCAATGATTGTGACATCATCCATCTTGTCACCATGAAGTATTCATCAACAGAATCGTCTGGTTTCATGTGAAGAGTTTCAAAATCTCTCCGGAGTGCTTGAAGCTCTGCACGCTTCACCTTGGTGGAACCTTGATACTTTTTCTTCATAGACTCCCATATCTGATTGGAAGTGTCCTTTTGGAGAATAGTCTCCAAAATGGATCAATCAATTGCTTGGAAGAGGTAGTTTTTCAATTTCTGTTCATCAAGTCTTTTTTGTTGCGCTTCTGTCAACACTGCTCCTTCTGCTGGTTCAACAATTCCATCTTCAATGACACTCCAGTACTCATTGGATCTCAGAAAATTCTCCATCAACATGCCCCAATGGTCATAATGACCATCAAAGCGAGGTATGGCTGGCTGCACGTAGTTCTCTTGAACCTTGTCGAATGCCATCAATTCTTGCTGCTGCAAGTCAAGAAAACTGCTGCTTTTTGGAGAATTTTAAGTTAGGCCCAGTGGGGGCTCTGATACTAGATTGTGAGAACTAAAAGGTAGCTTTGAAAATAAGAAGACAATAGAATTGCTGAACTGAACTTATTATGCATTGACTGAAACATGCTCTTCTTATAAAGGAGCTTACAAACAACTAATAGCAAATAAAAAGGAACAACTAAAACACGCCTAACAAACTCCATCAACTAGAGGGATTCCTAAAGACTAGGAAAGAAAACAACTAACTCCTATAAATTAGGAACTAACAATTATTCTGCAAAAAACATAATTAAGATAAATCTCAACAAGATATTCAAACTTTTTATATGAAAGAATGCTTTTGTGAAGCTTTTACAGAGAGTAATGTTTGGACAGAATACAAGAATGGCCCGACTTACTTTTTCTTTATGGTAAGGGTTGTAATTTATACACAAGAAATAGGAAGACCTAGAAACCCTAGCGTATATAATAAAGGTATATACAAGCTATATTCGCTACAGCTATCTCTTGGCTGTACATGGTGACTCAGCGTCAATATAGGTAAAATAGAGTTGTTAGGATTTTGTCCAGAAGGTGCTTCAACTGCCCTTGCATTTCTTTGGGTGTGTTGAGAGGTTGTAGAAGTGGTCAAGGTGTTTTGACGTTGTGCATTATTACCGCCCCTCAAGCTAATACAAGGTACTTAAGCAATTAGCTTGGAATTGAGTAGTTTAAATTAGGCTTTGGGAAGACTTTTGGTGAAGATGTCTGCCAATTGGTCATTGGTGGAAACATGTTGAATGGCGATGGCTCGACTTGTGACCAACTCTCGATTGTAGTGGTAGTCGACTTCGATATGTTTGGTTCGTGCATGGATTGGCAGACAAGGCTAAGGCACTGATATTGTCACACAAAAGCAGAGGTGGTTGATGAAGAAAGAAGTGCAGATTCTTGAGCAAGGAGCATATCCAAGTGATTTCAGTAGCTATTTGAGCGAGGGCTTGGTACTCTGATTCTGTGGAGGAGCAGGCAACAGTGCTTTGTTTCTTTGCACACCAAGAAAGTAAGGTTTGAGCCAAAGAAGACACAAAAGCCTATTGTGGAGCGGCGATCAAGTGGGCAACCTACCCAATCTGCAAAGGAAAATGCAGTGAGAAGCAAGTGTCCTTTGGTGAGTTTGAGGCCATTGTCTGAGGTGCCTTTGAGGTATCATAAGATGTGCTTAACGGTAGTGAAATGTTGAGTTGTAGGCTGATGCATGTGTTGACATGCATGATTGACGGCAAGTGCAATATTAGGCCATGTCCACGTAAGGTATTGTAGTGCTCCGACAAGAGAACGTTAAGTTGTAGGATCTGGCATTAATGAATCAGTGGTGGTTTCAAGTTTAGTAGTGCAGGATGGAGTGGGGCATGGTTTGGCGTCAAGCATGTGAGCTTTGGCCAAGAGGTCATGAAAATATTTGGATTGGGAAAGAAAAATGGAATCAATGGTGCGCTGAACTTGTATGCCAAGAAAGTAATGAATGGGGCCAAGATTTTTCATGGAAAATTGAGAACTAAGTTCATGAATGAGAGATTGACAGTAAGGAAGAGAATTTCCAGTGATTAGAATATCGTCTACATAGATTAAGATGAAAGTAAGAGTTGTGTCAGCCTTAATGAATAAAAAAGGGTATGCAGAGGAAGAAACAAAGCCCATACCAAGGAGAGAGTGATAAAGCTCTTCATACCATGAGCGTGGGGCTTGTTTCATGCCATACAATAACTTGTGGAGTGGACAAACATGAGTGGGATGCAAGGGATTGATGAAGCCAGGGGGCTGTTGCATGTACACTTCTTCATGAAGGGTTCCATGGAGAAAAGCATTTGACACATCAAGTTAGGTGATGCTCCAGTTGAATTGAACAGTTAGGGAAAGGATAAGGCGAATTGTTGGGGGTTTAGCCACAGGGCTAAAAGTTTCTATGAAGTCCAAGCCTGCTTGTTGATGAAACATTTAGCTACAAGGTGTGCTTTGTACCTGTCCAAAGAACCGTCAGCATTATATTTAACATGATATACCCATTTACATCAAATCACATTATATTGAGGGATGATGAGGGACTAAAGACCAAGTGTTGGTGGTTTTGAGGGGCTTGAAATTCTTCATTCATGGCTTGCGTCCAAAGGTGATTTTGCTGCTTGAGAATATGTGGTTGGGTGACGAGAGAGTAAGTAGAGATTAAAGCACATGAAAAGGGATGGTGAGTGATGGAGAGAGCATATTGTGCATTACAAGTCTTAGACCAAGTTTGCATAGGATGTATGTTTTGAGGCTGTTGTGGCTGTGGAGTTGAAGAGGGAGGAAAAGAGAGAGGAATTGAGAGAAAGGGAGCAATTGATGGTGCATGAAAGGGTGGTGTTGGTGCATGGGTCAAGGAAGGTGAAGAGGAAGTGGCATGAGAGGATTGGGTAAAGGAATTGGGAAAAGTAGGATTTGGGGAGAGAGATGAGGTTGGGAGAGGTACTGTAGGTGATGGAGGCAGTGGTAAGAAGCTTGGTAAGGGATTAGAGGGAGGTGGGGTAGTAAAGAGTGTAGGGATTGAGTGTTTGAATGGAAAGGTGGTTTCATCAAATGTCACATGGCGACTAATGTACACTCTACCTGTTTTGGGATCAAGGCATCTGTATCCCTTATGTTGAAGATCATAACCTATAAACACACAAGGAATGCTTCGAAAAGCAAGCTTATGTTTAGAATATGGCCTTAACCAGGGTAGCATGTGCAGCCATAGGCTTGCATAAACATGTAATCTGGTTTGCAATTAAATAATTTTTGTAGGGGTGAAAACGATTGAAGGGCAATTGAAGGTATCCTATTGATTAGGTATACCGCTGTTTGTGCTACTTCAACCCAAAAATGCAAAGGGAGGTGTGATTGGGCAAATAATGTGCGTGTGAGGTCAAGTATGTGTCTATGTTTTCTCTCTGTCAAGCCATTTTTCTCAGAAGTATGAGGACAAGAGAATTGTTGGGTGATACCATGTGTTTGAAGAAACTATTGGAATTTAGTGCTGTAGTATTCTCCGCCATTATCACATCTTAAAGATTTTATCTTTAAATCAAAGAGATTTTCAACTTGTTGTTTAAAGGTGTGAAAGGCTTGAAATGCTTCAGATTTGGAATTCAAAGGAAAAATCCAACAAAAACGAGACCAATCATCAATAAAGGAAATGTAATATTGATATCTAGAGATAGAAAGTGTTGGAGAAGGTCCTCATACATCTGAGTGAATGAATTGTAAAGGAGCAGTAAAATTACAAGTAGAATGAGAAAAAGAAAGTTTAGTGCTTTTGCCTAATTGACAATCAGAACATAAAGAAAGATGCTTGTTGGTGCAAGTTGTTTGAAGGTTGGAGGAAGAGATGACTTGTTGGAAAACACGATTGGAAGGGTGGCCAAGCGGCTGATGCCGAAGTGTGTGGGAAGCTGAGGAGATGAAACAAGCTTGAGGAGGTCTTTGAGATCTGAAATGGATGGGGTATAGGCTCCCCTCAGTAGGGCCTTGAAACATGATTTTCCCTGTAGTATTGTCCTTGATAATACAATGAGAAGGGGTGAAAATCAAATGTTATTATTAGGGAGGAGGGGGGGAGTTTTGGGTTAATAGTAATAGATAACAATTACATAAAAAATGCAAATTGGCACAAAAAGCAAACTGAATTCCGAATAGACATAATCTATGCATTCCAAGAAACTAGTTAGAAACAAGAGAAGCATCTAAACAAATTTAACTTTCATTCAAACTATTTCACAATCCCCTTCCAATTAATTATGTTAGAACTAATCTTAGGAGAAGTTGCCATCCAAAGCAAAGAGTTCAACAATGCAGAACCTGTAGCCTCTGTTGGAGAAGTGAGCGTGAAGATATGAAGATGTCCTAGTCTAGGCAATATGGTGGAGGGAGGGCCTTTCTCAAAGTATTTTTGGAAAGATGAAAACCTACACGGTCATCCATGAACAAGAAAAAAGAAAGGTGAAACTGGTAAGAATTAATGCATAACCTGAGAAAGGGATCAAAATATATCAAGCAATAAGTATGGTACGTACCTTAGCATCATAAATAAATAGGCTATTTGTTTGCAATTGCTTCTTGTCCAGAAGTCCGAATGTAGGCTGTGGGAACCAAATTAAATCAGAACCCTAGGTCAAATAATTCCTTCCATTTGGGGATTATTTGACCTAATTGTGAATTATTCAACCTAATTGGGAGTTACTCAATTTAATTGGGGATTACCTAATTAAATGGAATGTTACCTAATTAGGTCGAGAATTGATTTGATTCCTATCACAATTCCCAATTAAATGAGGAGTTACCTAATTAAATTAGAAATTAATCTGATACCTACCACAATTAGGGATTTGATTTACCCTAATAAATCAAATCCCTAATTAATCAAATCAATTCCAAATCGGGGAGGAATAAAAAGATGGCCACACACAAGGGTTGAGGTACGTCTAAATTCCTACTAAAACTCTGCAGAAATCATTTCTCCAAAACCCTAGCCACCATATTCTTTCTCTCTCACACACAAGGCTTCGGCTACCACACACGGCTCTAGTCACTTGGTTTTCCTTGAAACACCCAACCTAACTTAGGCATCGGAAGGCTTTTGGCCAACACCCCCCGGGTCTGGTCCTTTTACTTTGATATGTTTTGCTAGGAGAAAGAGAAGCGGAGAAGACGAAGGAATCTTGGGCGAATATTCTTGTGGGACGAAAATCGCTTCCACAAATTGGTGCTTTCATTGAGAGCGCAAAATAATACTCAAAGCGTGCTCCAAATCCATTTTTTCAAACAACCATGGTTGATACAAGACGTACGAAGAGTAACGCCACCACGGCAGGCCCGTCTCATGGTTTCGTGGTGGAAACCTTAATTCAATTGCACAGAATCGTGGCTACCAGCACCTTGTAGCCGTCTCCTAGTGCTTTGCAGCCACCTTTAGTTACTAGAATTGCAGAACAGCTGCCAGATGACCCCGTGATCTCCACAGCCTTGCAGCCGCAACCACCGATTGATGGAGCTGCTGTGCTGCGCCATCCTGCCGGAGCTGCTCTGCCTTGCTATCTTGCCGTTGAAGCATAGTAGCAGTCACACCACTCAGCAGCAGGGAATGCTGCATAGCCCCATGGCAACTTCGACGCCGTCCCAGTCTTGGAGCAGATCCATTCTCTCCCTCCTCTGCAACCACACTTGACGTATGCACCTGTGTACGCTTCTAATGGAGCCCTAGCCCATATGCCGTTAGGCCCGATGCACATCACTCTACTTGACTCGCGTAGTCAGGTGGACCTTAACTCACGGGTTGATCAACTCATGCAGAGAGTCGACGATAAAAATAACTTGATTGGCTAGCTATTCAGGCAGATCAACTTGAATAAAGGCCCTAACCTTGGACCCCGTGAGGAGGAGAGGAGGGTGCACAAGCATGTTGGCAAGTCGTTTGAGAGGTCCCAGGCTGGTCAGACAGGGCAAATGGGCAGGGGAGAGAGCGAGATCGTGCAGACGAGACGCAGACAGCAGGAGACGTACTCTGAGTCGTTTGAGGTTAGGTCCAAGGACTAATGTGCTTGAAAGGCTAGGCCCACAGTCCAATGTCCATGCTCGCTTGGGCCCACAAGGAGCTCGAGTTCGTGAGCGGTGGCATGACGAGCGCAACAATCGACGCCCACCAGCTAGCTTGAGGACCAACACGCGGCAGCAAGCTGTAAAGGGATCCTCCCAAGCTCAACCTTCTCATCTGCCTCGTGGGCAGGGAAACCAAGGGGATCGACCCTTTTGAGCTGAGGAAGAGGTTAGCCAGTTGCGCCCGAGGCATCGAAGATCTCAACCTGAGCAACCCTCCTTACAGGCAGAAGATGTCAATCGACGCCCACCAGCCCGCTCGAGGACCAACACATGGCGACAAGTTTTAAAGGAATCCTCACAAGGTCAATATTCTAATCTGCCCCACGGGAAGGGCAACCAAGGGGATCGACCCTTGGGAGCTGAGGAAGAAGTTAGCCAGCTGTGCTTGAGGTACCAAAGACGTCGACCCTTGCAGGCAAAAGCTGTTGAGAAGCTAGTAAATGACTGACTCTAAGGTCTCCAACTTAAAGGAAGCACGGAGGAGGCCTTGTGCAAGGAAATTGATCGAGTCGACTACTTGCCCTTTATCGACGAGGTTGAACGAGCTCCACCACCTAAGCGGTTCACAACGCCATCTATCACTTCATTCCAGGGGGACTCTGACCCTATGAGTCATTTGAGGTACTTCAAGAGCGCCATGATCCTGTACAAGACAGACGATGCCCTGATGTGCAAAGTGTTCACGATGACTCTGTGAGGAGCAACTCAAGATTGGTTCCACACTCTATCATTCACGTCGATAGACAACTTCAAGGAGTTAGCCCTCATCTTCACAAAGGAGTACACCTCCTACAAGACGATCAGAAAGCATGCGGACCACGTATTCAACCTGCGCAAGATGCCAGACGAGTTTCTTCGAGACTAGCTCAGACGGTTTAAGGCTGAGAAGGCAAACATCATAGGATGCAATGACCAAGTTGCATCCTCAACTTTTAAGAAGGGCTTGCCAACCGAGCACGAGTTGCATCCTCAGCTTTCAAGAAGGGCTTCCCAACTGAGCACGAGCTATACCGAGAGCTGACCATAACTCTAAGCCAAACCTTAGTAGAAGTCTTCGGGACGGCAGAGCGCTACGCATTTTGGGACAATGATCGTATCGCCGCGAAGAAAGCCAGCAAGCAAGTTGATCACCCTGACAAATCAGGCAAGTCAAAAGAGCAACAAGTTCGAGCATAAAGCTTGAGATAAGTGCAGATCGTGGCCCCAAGAGGGAGGCTCGAAACTAGGAACCTTAAATGAGTTCACTATCCCAATCCACCAGATCCTGACACAAGTGAAGAACAAGCCGTGGGTGAGAAGACCGCCACCCCTAATGGGAGACCCTTTCTAGGAGGAACACCAGTAAATACTACGCATTCCATGGGGAGCACTGTTATTACACCAACAACTGCAATGCTTAGAAAAGGCACCTTGAGGAGCTGGTTAGAGACGGCCATTATACAGAATTCATCTCAAAGAAGACCATCTAGCATATCGAGGATCATGATGTAGCTGCCAAGGAACCTTCTCAAAAGGTCATTTGAATCAACACCATCCTAGCTAACTCTCAGGAATCCGGGCTAACCACCAAGGAGCTCAAGAGAAAGATCGCGCATGCGACTTATGTCTCCCAAGTCACAACGGGAGTACCAGTCATTATGGATACACCAATCATCAGGCTTGACCTGCTGCATAATGGCACCCTAGTCATCTACATTCAAATTGAACAAGCTGTGATCGAGCGAGTTCATATAGATGAGGGCAGAGCAGCCAATATCCTGCAGCTATCTGTTATCCAACATATAGGATTATAGCCCAAGATTAGCAAACTTGCCAGATCGCTTACCGGCTTCAATGGGGCCACGTCAATCACTGTTGGAACGATCGAACTTGACGTCTACTCACCCCCAATGGTCTGCTCGCCAACCTTTATGGTCATCAATGAGGTATCCCCCTACAACAAAATCTTAGGCCGACCATGGATTAACAAGATCGAGGCCATCACATCTGCTCTACACCAGTAGATCCGCTACCTTATCCTTGGGGGCAGGATCAGGCAGATCAACAATGACCAAGCCATGGCAAGGAGATGCACAGTCCAATGGCTTAAGAAGAGCAAGCAGTTACAAATCACACCAGTAATGCAAGCTGCTAATGAGGCAGGAAGCGCTCCTAGTAGACAAGCAAGCTCGAATGGGAAGGAAGTTGCTACTCACAATAGCAATTAAGAAGCCAGGATCAAGGTGAGGGAATCCGCCCAGAAGACTCACATGAGAAAGGTTGGAAGCCTGAGGAAGACGTTGAGTTAGTACATCTCGATCCTGACTAGCCAGACAAAAAAGAGAGGATCGGCTCGCACCTAAGCCTAAATGGGAAGGTGGAGCTGACCACCTTCCTCCAGAACAACATCAACCCGAACATAATCTACCACCAGCTCCATGTCAACCACGCTAGCAAGCCTGTGGTGCATAAGAGACACAACTTCGCTCCTGAGCGGGTTTCGATCATTGAAGCTGAGATTGACAAGCTTCTAGCTGCCGGTTTCTTTGAAGAGGTCTCCTACTCAGAATGGCTGGCCAACGTTGTTTTGGTGGCGAAACAAGAAAAAAACAAATGGAGAGTGTGCGTCGATTACACCGACCTCAATAAAGCATGCCCTAAAGACAGCTTCCCATTGCCGAGAATCGACCAACTCGTGGATTCAACTTCAGGCAATCAGGTGCTCAGCTTCATGGACGCCTACTCCGGCTATAATCCAATTATGATGCACGACGATGACAAAGTGAAGACCTCTTGCATCATCGAGAGAGGGACCTACTGCAACAAGGTCATGCCATTTGGGCTGAAGAATGCCGGAGCAACCTACCTAAAGCTCATGAATAAAATTTTCAAGGAGTAGATCGGCAGAACCATGGAAGTCTACGTGGACGATATGTTGGTCAAAGCCCCCAAACGTGCAGACCACCTCAAAAACCTTACCGAAGCATTCAACCTGCTTTGCTAGTATCGCATGAAGCTGAATTCAAGTAAATGCATGTTCAGTGTATCGTACGGCCGATTCCTGGGGTACTTAGTCACACAACGAGGTATCGAGGTATACCCACACCAAATCAAAGCCATTCTCAAGATGAAGTCACTTTCCGCGATGAAGAAATACAAAGCTTGAGGGGCAGAGCAACGGCCATCAACTGACTCCTCTCAAAATCTGCCGACAAGTGCAGACCATTCTTTAAAGCTTTGAAGAAGGGACAAAAAGACAAGTGTGACGAGGAGTGCGAAGCAGCTTTCCGTAATCTAAAGACTTATCTCACTTCACCTCCCCTACTCTCAAAGCCAGTTCCTGGTGAAGACTTGTTCGTGTACCTGGCAGTGTCCAACTCGGCCGTCAGCTCAGCTCTCATCCAAGAAGAACTTGGGGCCCAACATCCGGTATTCTACACGTCAAAAGCTCTCCTCGATGCAGAGACTCGCTACCCGAAATTGGAAAAGCTTATTTCGGCCCTTGTAGTTTCCTCGAGAAAGCTGCGACCCTATTACCAAGCTCACCGAGTCATCGTCATGACTGACTTTCCTTTAAGATCAATCATCCACGGCCTTGATGCTTCTCAGCGACTCATAAAGTGGGCTATAGAGCTAAGCCAATACGACATTCTCTACCGGCCGAAGACTTTATTGCAGAATTCACACCATCGACCGAAGAAGAGAAGCTGGTCATTAAAAAGAAGGAAAGTTCGAGAGTAGACTAGACCTCCGCTGAACCTGGCCAACCTAAAGACATGTGGTAGTTGCGCGTAGATGGAGCGTCAAACCAAAAGGAGGTGGAGCAGAGTACGAGGCATTGCTCGCTGGCTTGCTAGAGCAAGCTATCACGATTGGCTTCCCGGCTTCAAACAACGAGGTAGAGTATAAGGCATTGCTCGCTGACTTGCGCTTGGCAAAGGAGCTATCAATTAAGAAGATGGCCATCTACTCAGATTCCCAACTGATCACAAGTCAAGCCTTAGGAGAATACATGGCGAAGCACCCAAGGATGATCTTGTACCTTGACAAAGTCCAAGAGCTGTTGAAGGCGTTTCCCATTTTCACCATCTAGCAGGTGCCCCAAGCAGAGAACGCGCACGCAAACGCACTAGCCAGCTTAGGATCAGCGCTGGATACCCAGTTCAAACGCTTCATCTCGGTCGAGCACCTTCACCAGCTAGCATAGAAGAGGCAGAGCAGCTGGACCTGCTGCAGATCGACGAGGATCCTAGCTGGCAAGACCCCATCATTGACTACCTAGTGAACCAAAACTTGCCCAAGGACAAGTCCCAGGCTAGGAAAATCAAGCAGAATGCTGCAAGATACTACATGAAAGGCAACATGCTTTCCCGCAAATGCTCAAGATTCTTTGCAAAATACATGACGACGAATGTGGAAATCACGCTGGGGGCAGATCGCTTGCTCAGAAGGCTCTTAGCATCGGCTATTTCTGGCTTACCATACGCCAAGTCTCCACGGAGTATGCTCAAGAAATAGCTTCTTTTGGATGGCATTCTCTGCAAGTAGAAGACAAAAGTCAGTCAGAGACACAACAAGAACATTCCCTGGTAACTGTAGCAGGCCAAAGAGATGCAACTTACCATCACAGTAGGTGAGAGGAACGAGAGGACCGTCGCCAACCTCCCCTTCCCATATGCCACTAACTTCCAGCATGTCCTTGCTACATGATCACCTTGACTCATACTATCAAACAACTTGGCTTTGCGTGCGCGAACTTGGGCATACTTCTCAAAGCACCTCACCTCTAAGAAGTAGAAGAATTCCCGCACGGTTAGATCTAGCTTGAAGAAGCGGCTCAAATTTTCAAAGTAGATGACCACTCGATAAACGTTCAGAGTACACTGGCTCAGGGCACACTCCATGGTGCAGAGCACATCCCTGAAAAATTTTGACATCGAAAACGTGAAGCCCAACGAGAAATAGAAGGGGCAGAACGTATCCTAGCGCCTAGATTGTTAGAATCCACACGAGGTACACTGTCGGACAAGGGCTTTGCCAACTTGACATGCACATCCTTCGGAATGGATGAGTCGAAAAGTGCACACCACGTTTTGAACTGGGCCTCAGTGGTGACACGGTGCAAATTGGCCACGAAGCTCTCTTTGGGAACTTGGGAGTCACCCCACAGGTACAAAGGCACTTGCGACCTTGGTGATCGGCTCCTTCCTTCAGAAGACATGGTCGTTGAGTAGCTGCAAAAAATAACGAAGAAAATCGCAAGTTAAAATTCCTATGAACAAAAAACAATAAAAAAAAAAAAAAAAAAAAAAAGGAAAAAGGAGGAAGGAGGAATAGGTCCAACAAGTCGCAGCCCAATCTGCGAGAGCACCTGGAGCAGAACACGCGCGGCCTAGCTCGCGCTTCCAGCCAGGCGCATGTCGCATGAGGCTTGCTCCGTATGCGAGGCCCAGGGGGATGCGCCAGGTCGCTCCAGCTGTTCGCATGGTCCGCCATGCCAAATCGTCCAGTCTCAAATGGATTCGAGTTCTTCACAAATATTGTTCCTCTATATGTATAGAACAACATATTAAGATTGTTGGAAAAACAACAATCAGTGACTAATTAAAACAATTATATAAGTAGAATTTATAGTAAACTGTAATACATAATACAGTATATAAACAATAAATGAAACTGACTTGAATTCGAGATAGAGGCTTGCAGATTTGATGCAATGTCCTAAAGATAGTAATTTCACCCCTTCTCGGTGCTTGAAGTTCTACAGGTGACTGCCTCCCAGGATTCAACTATATGTATTCTAAATCCTAGTACTCGGACTTAGAATCTGGCGAACGTTGTTTGTTTTCCTCTCAGACATGAGATGTTGTGATGCTGAATGTTGTTTTTTTTTTTTTTTTTTTTTTTTTTTTTTTTAACTTGTTTGATTTTAAATAAACTTTTTTAAACCTTATCAGAAAAAGACAACTGTTAGAAAACAGTTAATAAAACTAATCCAAATTAATAAGAAATTATTAATTCGAAACCAAAAAAATAATTTTAAATCTCAAAGTGCCCCAAGGCCCAAGGCCCATCTTTTTGACCATTAAATATTATATAATTTTATATAATATTCAAAGCCCAAATAGATTTTGAAGCCTAAATTGCTTCCACTTGGCTCACTTCTATTTAATAAGTGTGAGACTTCCACACTTATAAAGACCTCATTCTTTCTACTTTCTACCAATGTGGGACTAAGGTTCTTGAATTTCATTCAAACTTCCAACAAAGATTTAGTAGCATTTGGATAAATATAGCATGCTCGAATTGTCACACATCAAAGCATGATCAAAGAAGAAGCTAGTGGGGCATGCTGGCCAACTTTTGTTAAGTTAATGGAGGTGCATGAGTCAGCATGGAGGCCTGAGCTTATTAAAAAAATGAATGATAAAATAAGCTTGCTAATGGAGGGAAAAAAGTTTTGCTTGGAAGATATTTTGAATTACCTAGGGAACAACACCAAAACAACTTTTCTAATTTTGCTTGCTTTTTCAGCAACCCACTCACCAAAATCAATGGCAAGTGGGTACTTCTCATTGGCTGTTGGGCCCAACACTTAACCCACTTCATTTTTTTTATAAATAAAGTCTAAATAGAGAAATTTTCAGGCTATGTTGTTTACTTTTCATCCATTGTTTATATGAATAGAGAAATCTTCATATGAACATCCATCATTTTCATTACTGTCATTTACTTTTCAAGTCTATAGCTACAAGGAACTGAGTAGACAAATCCTCAGTTTAGGGTAGCTATATGTCATTTACTTTGAGTTTGCATTGATAATGAACTGAATCGAGAAATCTTTAGTTCCATATCATGTTTCTCATTTTTATTTTTGTTTTGTTTTTATTTTAAATTTTAAATTTTAAATTTTTTAATTTTTTCAACTTTTTGCTTGTTCTTATCTTTGCACTAGAAAAATATTGAAATCCTTTTCATTGAGGCATATAAAAGAACCTATATTGGGTCAATTCCCACTATTGATTGATTAGAGTCGATATTGGAGTGCATTTTACATTTTTCAATCACTTTCTATTGGAACTTTCGCTGCCAACAATGGCACGCTTACGCAAACAACATGAAAACAATCCCACGGCCAACACCAGGCCACCGCGGATAAATTTCCGGGGTAGAACAAACAGGGACATTGAAAGATAGAGGAAAAACAGAAACAAGAGATATGAAGCCATACATACATAATATTGTTCAACTTAATTAGGCAAGCATTTTTCCTTCTTTTTTTTTATGTGAAATTACAAGGACAAATATTAACACAAATATTGCCATTACAATGGAAAAAATAGTACAAAGATTACATTGAAGACTCTTGTTTATCTTCAAGCACCTTCGAACATCTTCACCAGTTACTTCAAGTTTGGTAGACATATCGTTAAATGTTGAAAATAATAATTTCTCACGATCCTGCATCATCCTATTGTATTTATCTCAGCTCCATTTACCCACTCACTAAACTGTCCACACTTAGTGCATGCCCAATAAGAATGATTGTAATTGTCGGCTGATCTGGATATTCTAAATTCCAAACCAGCACCATCACATTTTTTCCTACAATGTTAGCATATATCGAATGTCACTACTGCTGCTGTTGATCAACATTCTGTATGTCAAAGTTCATGCTCATGATCATCCTCAAAACAAAGGATATTACTAATAAGAACAAGTTGCAACTATTAAGAGAAACGAAGAACAGAAAAATTCAGAAAAATAGAAGCCAAATGAAACAATATGAACAAATAGGGCACAATACTTGTTAACAGGTTCTAAACTGTGCTAGAATAGATGAGCAAAGTGTTAAATATAAGGATATATGGTAAATTTCTGAGATATATTTCTTCTCTCAAAGGAGGTGTATATATAGTGTACAATGCCTTCTTACCCAAGGAAAAGATAAAAACTAATCCTAATAGAACAGATAATACAAGAATCCTTATATTAATTTCTTATCTAAAATATGACTCAAGCCAATACTCACCCACAAGTTGGTACATAGATGTCACCAATGCCTAACTTGTCAAGTGAGTCACTAAATACTTGGCTAGACACTGCCTTAGTCAAAACATCTGCGAGTTGTTCATCTAATTTCACATGTGGCACACTAATCACATTGCTTCGATACTCAGCTTCCGCATTGGACAAAGAACAAACCTTTTGCTTCTTGCTTCACCAAGTAACAAGGTTACCACCCACAAATGTAAAAAAACTTGACGTTGAACTCCTATCAATTTTATTTCTTGTCCAATCGGCATCTGCAAAACCTTCAATTTCCAAATGTTCATATGGAAGTAGTCATTCTCCTAGTAAAATTCGCATAACTGCTTCCATATGAACTTCACTAGGAGAATGCATAAATTGACTCACAACACTAATAGCATAAGTAATATCTAGCCTAGTGTGAGACAAATAAATAAGTCTTCCAACTAACCTATGGTACCTGTCTTTATTAGTTGGAACTTGATCTGGAAGAATCTCAAGATTATGGTTTTGCACAATAGGAGTATTAACAGGTTTACACCCAAGCATCCCAATTTCATTTAATAAATCTACACATATTTTCTTTGTGACAAGAAAATACCCTGTTGACGATAACCATATTTCTTCATGGCACAACTGAATTTGCCAAACCAAGCTCTAGGAGATTGCTTCAACCCATAGAGTGACTTCCTCAACTTGCACACCAAATTTGGATTTTATGATACATCAAATCCTGGAGGTAGGGTCATATAAACTTCTTCCTTCAATTCTCCATGTAGGAAAGAAGTTTTCACATCAAATTGTTAAGGTGGCCAATCTAAATTTGCTGCAAGTGATATTAGAACACAAACTGTGTTTATTTTTGCAACTGGTGCAAAATTTTCCGGATAATCACCGCCATATGTCTAAGTATATCCTTTGGCAACCAATATCGCCTTGTATCTATCAATGGTACCATCTACCTTGTGTTTAATTGTAAAAATCTATCTGCATCCAACTGGTCATTTTCCTTGTGGCAATGAAACTAAATCCCAAGTTTTATTAATTTTTTTTTTCAAAGCCAACATCTCTTCATCCGTAGCTTTCTTCCATTGAGGAGCAGCCAGAGCATCTTGCACTTTAGATGGAATAAATTTAGCAGTCATCTGATTAGCAAAAACAACACATGCTTCAGATAATCAATGAGTAGAGACATAGTTTGCAATTGGGTAGTTCGACTTCTTTGAATTTTCAAGTGAAAAACAATCCGGTGGAATTCCTCTATTACGTCTGGGAGGCAATTGATACCTTTTTTCTGCAACACTATCAATATCATTTGTAATTAAATTGTCAGTATTAATAAAAGTTTTTGTACTTACCCCAGGAATTTGGACAAGTACTATTGGTGCAAAAGAAGGAGAATAATTATGTGGGATATGTGGAGTTGCAAGTTACAAAGTGGGGTTAGCAACAGGTGGCGCCAGGTCCTCAACTGATGTGATTGCATTCTCTTTTCCATTGCAGATCACTTCTTCTCTTTCTATGGTAATATCAAGTAACATAATTGTCTAATTCCAATTCTGCTCTTCAATATTCTCCAATTCTGCTCTTCAAGATGAAGAAAATACATGGACAACTTTGAGAAAGTGACATCCATTGTGACATACGTACTCTTTGTCGGAGGATGGTAGCGTCGATATCCTTTGGAATATGGGGAGAAACCCACAAACACACATTTAAGAGCACATGGATCCAATTTGGATTGGAGGTGTTTAAGGATGTGAACGTAGGCTATACAACAAAAAATGTAGGGATGGAGAGCTCCAACACATCTTAGGCATATGTGCTTCTATCAAAATACTCATGGCCATCTCAAGAGGATGGCGATTTTTCAGTTCAGCAACCTCATTTTGTTGAAGGGTATAGGGACATGTAGTTTCATGAAGAAGACCGTTATCCTAAAAGAAAGACACAAAATCATGATTCACATATTCATCTCCATTATTCGATCGCAGAAACTAGATTTTTGTGGAGAATTGTGTCTGAACCATTTGATAGAATTGCTTGAAGAGACCAAAAACCTCACTCTTATGTTTCATAAAATATATACATGTCATTCCTGTATAATCATCAACAAAAGTCACAAACCATCTAATGCCAGAGATTGTAGATACTGGGGAAGGACCTCATACATCAGAATGAATAAGAGCAAAAGGTTTACTATTCTTATTGAAACTAATTGGGTATAAAACACGGTGACTCTTGGCAAGAATACAAGTTTCACACTGAAGACTGTAAATATCCAAATCCAAAAATAAAGCTGGAAATAAATATTTTAAATAACCAAAAAAAGCATGTCCTAAACAGCAATGCTGTATCCAAATTTATTTCTTCTTGTCTGCAGATGAGTCATGAGCAATAAGAGTCTCCCCTGTGCAAACATCATCCACATAATATAGTCCCCCTCTCTTAGTACCATGCCCAATTATTTCCTAGGTTCGAATATCCTGAAGAAGGCAAAACAAGGGATAGATTAATACAAAACAATCTAATTGTTCAGTCACTTGTCCTACAGATAATAAATTCTGAGATAAAGAAGGAAGAAGAAGAATATGTTCCAAAGTTAAATTTGGAGAAAGATCAACAGTGCTTGTCCCAGTCACAGGGTAGGGTTGGCCATTCGCATTCGCCATACTAGTACGGCTAGAAGTAGTACGAGTCTTCAAATTTTTGGGGTCAAATGTCATGTGATTTGAAGCACCTGAATCCATACTCCAACCAAAACCAATACCTAAGCCAGTAATAGCAGCAAAATCACTGCCTAAGGTATTAGAAGAAGTGACCGAATCACCTATAAGGAGGGCGGCAAAACCTGGAGGAACAATGGAGGAGACATACGGCATAGGGGAAGCTTGTGGCACATAAAGGTCGGGAGATCCTACGCAGAGTGCGACCTTGCCTTGTGCGTATCGTTCAGCTGCTGCTTTGGCCTTGTTACGCTCCTTGACTTCATCCCACCATTTTGGATAACCATGTAATTTAAAGCAATCAGTTACAAAGTGATTCGTGTTGTTGCAATGAGTACACCTTTCGCCATTATGAGGTTTAACTTGTTGCAGACCACCAAGTATTCTAGAACATGGAGGTCCGTTAGTTGTAGAACCTACAGGTTTGTAGGAAGAGGCAGGCATAGAATGCCTTGCAGGGTCATTAATTGTAGAATTGGCAGGTTTCTAGGAAGAGGTAGGCTTGGAGTTCCTTACTGCCATAGTAACTCTAGTGTTCACTGGGGTTGGTGGCATCATCATGGTGGATCGCTGCTGGTCTTCTAATCTAACACATGAAAAAGCTTTCTCCAAATTCGTAAACGGATCCATGCGAAGAATATTGCTACAAACTCTGTCAAACACATCATATAATCCAGCTAAAAATACATAAACCCTCTCGATCTCAATCTCCTGCTGACAAAGCAAAATATCTGCTGAATTAGTAAATTTCTTTGGTCGTCGATAATAAATCTCGTGCCAAATACTTTGCAATTCTTCATAGTATGTGACAAGTTGTCGCCCAGACTGTTTCGCCTTGAATTCCCGACTAGTTAACTCATAAATCTGTGACTGATCTTGGCCATCATAGTATTTTTTTTTCACATTCTCCCATACATCTTTGGTAGTTTTGTAGGGAAGGAAAATTTGCATAATATCAGGCTCCATAGACTGAATCAACCATCCCTTCACAACTGCGTTTTTAGCATACCACTTATTGTAATTGAAGGCTGCCAGAGCTAGTGCAGCAGAACCGCCTGTCAGATACCCATATTTTCCCTTCCCAGCAACATGTAGCTCAAGCAGTTGAGACCATACTGAATAATTTGTTCCATTCAATTTGACAATTGTAGGAGCAGCGGAAGAATCATGATGAACATTGACAATTGACATAGGCTGACCAAAACCCCTTGAGGTAATTTGCGGTACCTCATTGGGTTGTTCATCTTCATCAAACAAATCCTGCATATCCCCTACGGAGACAAAAAACATTGCAAGGAATTAAAACAAAATAATAGGCAAAAAAGAAAAAATCTGTAGTAGTAAGGGGGTTTGGCTATTCTAGGGAATATATAACCTGGCTCTGATACCAAGTCAAATACAAGGATATATGGTAAATTTTTTAGATATATTTCTTCTCTCAAAGAAGGTGTATTATAGTGTACAATGCCTTCTTACCCAAGGAAAAGATAAAAACTAATCCTAACAGAACAGGTAATACAATAATTACAAGAATCCTTATATTAATTTCCTACCTAAAATAGGACTCATGCCAACACAAAGTTAATGACACAAACCATAGTACAATGATGGTGTCAATGGTATGCGGTTTTAATAAGACATAAAGGGTGAATAGCTTGCTGATAATTGAGTAGACTTATGCTCTTGTAAATAAAGAACTTTTCCAACTTAGGGAAGTATGAGTTCTGGAAGTAACTCCCAAGGTAACAATAGTTGAACCTTAAACTCTTCCGGCTTACATTCAGATTTTGACGGATTAAGTGACTTTAGTGTCACTAATCATATGACCCTTGATTCCCGAAATTTTACATATCGTACCTCACCTCACTTGAGCAGTGTGGCCAATGCTAATAGTGACTCAAGTCTTGTTACGGGCGCACGACCAATGGAATTAACTCCTTCTCTCTCCTTACATCATTGCTTACTTGTGCCTTCTCTCTCCAATAACCTCTTATATGTTGGACAAATCATTGACCAACGTAATTGTTTTGTACTAATGTAACTTCAGGATATTCTCACCAATGAGATCATTGGCTGTGCTACTAAGAGAGAGGAATTGTATTTTGTTGATGATATTTGTCAAGTCCGGGTTCATCTTACCAAAGGTTCTGTCAAAGATCGTTGACAACGCATTCTACTGTGGCATTAAGAGCGATCAACATGAGCATGAGCATAAGAGTGAGTAAATAAACGAAAACAAAAAACTATGGCAAAGAACAATTGGGTGATTTTTAGCCACTGCCATCAAATACGATGTAGAACCAAATTCAGAGAACATGAGTAGTGTTAGCTAGAGGCAGGTTTTGGGAGAATGATTTCATTGAGAACATAGCCCAAAAGGGGTGAAAGGGAACTTCAATCTAAGCATGGCCCAGAAGAGATCACCACAAGGGGATTCTTATCCAAAATGCCCAGTGGACTTATTCACTAACCCAACAGGAAGAGAGGAGGGGGCGGTGGGACAGTGACGCTTCTTCCTCCTCCCCCTCTATTGAGTTTTTCCTTAGGATTTACATAGTGAGAGAGCGGCTAGGTCGAAACTTCTCTCACCTCATAGCCTATGAAATTACTTCTCTTAATTTGACCAATATATATTAATAATATTTATTAAATTAATTAAATAATTTATTTATTACATAAGTCACTTCATGTAGGCCATACATATTTATGAAATATTCTTACAAACTTGTCATCTAATATTAAAATACCATTGCAATGTTTATCTCCGCTGCAAATACATAGGTCATGCATTGCAAATATTCTTACAAACTTGACATAGGTCACTTCATGTGGGCCACAATATATAAAATATTATTACAAATTTTTCATCTAATCTTAAAATACCACTGTAATGTTATTTCCGCACCGAAAACAAGATTTAAGATTGAATTTTAATGGAATCTTCTTGTGGTTTAGGCACTGGAAGGTGGCCCTTCTCCTGCAAGCTCTTAACAGTTTCATATAGGCACTGTTTCACTGGAGTGAACTCCACACCCAAGTCTTGTAGCTTCTGGGTTGTCAACTTGTATGGTTTTACTCTTGGTTTGACTTCATCCGAGCACCTGTAAATACATGACATACTAATTAATTTAATCCCACAACATTAAAAAAACAAGAATACTTTCAAAAATATAAATATGTGTATTGCATTAAAATAGTTTGAAAATAGAAATCCATAAATAAAAAAATAGTTTGTAAATAGATTTTAAAATAGTTTAAAATCTATAAGTAAACCAATGATCAGCCAAAAATTTCTTTATTCTATAAAAACATTAAGTAATGGACCATAAGCAAACACTAAATCAATCACTACTAGAGGTGCCTACGTATGCATGAACAAACATATTTATCATATTACTTATACCAAAATAGGGATACCATCGCTGTCCCCGCCCTCATCCCCGTCTTGGTTGTTAACATGTAGCTCAGAAAATATCTTATTTAGACAAGAAATAAAGAAAACAAAATCAATGAGGACGATGATGTACTTACTTGGTGGGAATTGGGTATTCTGGGAAGAACTTGGCTAGGATTTCTACCACGTCTCCACGGTGAAGCACACTCTCACCACAAAGGTACCTTCCCGAGGCAGATGAAGTTTCATACACCAGAATGTGGGCCAGAGCCACGTCCCTAACATGCACATAGGCCTGCACAGCATTGGCATAAGTCTTGGCTGAGCCTGTGAGGTACTTGAGGATGTGGATGATGCTGGCGTTGACGGTTGGTTGGAGAAGTGGTCCGAGTACCAAAACTGGGTTCACCACCACCAAATCCACCCCTTTCTCCTTGGCCTCTTCCCAAGCTGTCTGCTCTGCCACTGTTTTCGCATAGCAGTACCAGTTCTGCATATATATTATTTTGTATTTGTCAAATTCATTATAACTTTAAGCATCATAATCATCGTCAGGGTTACCTTAAGCCCTAAAGCATAGTGTATGTATGACCATTATTTTCAATTGTATTAATCTAATCCATTTTATTTGTTTCATCCAGCTCTATCAAGAGGATAACTATGAAATGGCCACTATGTTTTCAAAGAGCTGTTGATACTTGGGAAAGAAGGTCGAAAGCTGCTGGCCTCAAAGTTATGGCTGACCATAACGGCACTTCAAATCCTGAAAAGGCTAATGCTCAACTCAAGAAAGCTGGAGAAATTTTTGAATCTTTAGGGAAGGCAGATTCTGCTACTTGGACTAGGCACCGGATGGTGAGACCAAAGCTTGGTCAAGCTTTCACAACAAGTACTTCTAAGAGGCTGAGAGACAAAGTTTGGTTATGGCATAAACGTCTTGGGATGCCTCGTTCGGTTATCATTATTTTCCAGTTTTGATGTTTCCAGCTTCCAGTGTGATACATGTGAATTGGCTAAGAGTCATCGTGTTCCGTTCCCATTAAGTACAAATAAAAGTTTGGTTCCCTTCTCCCTTATTCATTCTAATGTTTTGGGGCCTTCTCAAATAGCTACTTTGGCTAGAGCTCAATGGTTTGTACTTTCACTGATGACTACACCCGAATTACAAGGGTTTCCCTTATCAAAACCAAAGTGGAAGTCAATTTAACTTCTCAACAGTTCCATAAAATAGTAGCGACTCTGTTTCATGCCCAAATGCAGGTTCTCCATTCTGACAATAGCGGAGAATTTCTTAATCATGATCTTAAAAAATTCTTACAGGATCATGGCTTCATACATCAATGCTCGTGTCCATATACTCCCCAACAAAATAGGGTGGCTGAGCGAAAGAACTGACGTTTATTGGAAGTCGTTCGTGCATCTTTATTTAGTGCCAACATGCCTATATCTTTTTGGGGCGAGGCCATCCTCTCTACAGCTTACCTTATAAATAGGATTCCCTTAAGTATCTTGAATTTCCAAACTCCTCTTCAAACACTTCACCACCATCTCCAAATACCTCCCACCCCAAACCTTGAACCATGGATTTTTGGCTGTATTGTATTCGTGCACTTACATGATCACCAACGCAACAAATTGGATCCTTGCGCAGAAATGTGCAATTTCATTGGCTATGCCCTTCATCAGAAAGGCTAACTATGTTATCACCCTCCAAGTCATAAGGTATATACCTCCATGGATGTAGTGTTCCAAGAACAAGACATACATTTTTCAGAAGCATAGGAGGAGAATCTTTAGCGAAACACCTCAAATTTTCTGGACTTTTTCACAATGGAAGAGATTCAGCATCAAAGTGACCGGTCGCCCCTCCAAAACGACGGTTGCCCTCCTTATTCCTTCACAGGCGGAGCCACTGTGTCAAAACGACTGGTTGCTTTGTCCTCTTTTGCCCAACATTGAGCCTATGTCTCTAGTGGAAAACAACCAGTCGACTCCATGCTGCCAAAATCAAGAGGAGGAAGTTGAACTGTTTTATGAGATTTTGCCTGCTCTAGACCTGCTTTTAGCTCTAGTACCACGCCAATCACCTTATGAGGAATTCATTCAGGTAACATCTCCCCCTGAATCTAATAACACTAATGTGAATTTGTTGCTCCCAACCTTGTCAATAGGTCCCATGAACGGTGACGTTCCGCCGTAACATGACAACCATAGAAACATGTGAAGCGTCATCTTCCCTATACCCCTAAACTTCCACCTCTATATTGATATGGTTATTGCTGGCAGACCTTAAAGAAACAACTAACTCATCTGTCCACCACAAACAAAGGCTCCTAGAGGCTCCGTTACTTTCGACCACAATACATTGACGAAAGCCCAATTTGAGTCAAACAGATTCCATAACGTTTCTAGAACAACGTGTTTCACAAAGAAACACAATTTTGGGATCCTCATTATGGACAAGACACCGTAATGCTTTAACTGTCCAAGGGTTCCTAAGGCCTTGGCAGTTCCAACTTAGAAGATTCATAGCTCCCGGCAGGGCTTGGCAATGCCAACTCTCGCCGATCTCAGCGATGAAGAAGAGACAAAGGGCAAGCATCGCCTCTTCTACCCTTGTGTGTTCTCAGTAGTGCCTTTCAGGGAAGCACGCCTCTTGCCATTTTGATTAAGAGTACCCGTATTCCCTCTATCATGAAGACTCTTCTTATTGATATGAACCTTGGAGATATTTCTTCCTGCATGGGCTCTCTTTGATTTCAATTTTGCTTCCTTTGTGATTCTTTGAATAATTGGGCTGAGCCCAAAAGGATCCTCTTAAGCTATATCCTTTGTGAAGCCCCCTGGCCATTCAGTAAACACTTTGGGCCCATATTGGTCAGAAGCTAGCCCATCTACACCAACCAAATGTTCTCGAAAATCACAGCATTGATTGGGAGATCATTTCATGTGAGCAATTGTTGCCCAAAAGGGTGGCCGTATGAAGATCCTAAGTTAAGGCTAAGTTAACATCCGAGTAATTAGGAGGCTGCATCAAATCTGCATTACAATCATTTCACGTGAGCAATATGATCAAACTGACCACAAAGATAGCAGGTGTGTGGAAGGTTCTCATAGCGTAGGTCCACCCACTGACTTGTGGTTTGTCCTCCAGGGAGTCGCACTGGCATACACCTCCTACGTGGCTTTGAGATGTCAATGCCTACTCTGATGCACAGATAACTTCCATAGCAATCACTCCTTTTCCTTTGATCAGCGACTACAAAGTCACCCACTGCAGTCCCTATCTCTTTTCCCATAGCTCTCGTCATGTAAACTAATGGAAGCCCACGAACCTAAATCCAAAACTCATGTTTGTGCAAAGGAATGTGGGAGGGGTTTACCACGTCATCCGCTTCACTAATCACCAGCAAATAGTGGTTGAAGGCCCAAGGACCCCCGCCTAGAATTCTCGCTCTGTCTTGTCGTGAGGAGAAAGCAAACATGAACAAATAATCCTCCAAGGTCACAATCTCCACCCATGCCTTTGGTCTCCATAGTGTCTCCATAGCGCGCTTAAACGCCTCCTTGTTGAAAGGTTTCTTCGTGAGCACTTTGCCTACTAGGACAAACTTTGTAGTTCGAAGCAGGCCAACATTACCTCCCTCAACCACCAGTACTTGCTGTTCCTCCTCAGTCGGCACAAATTGAGAAGCAAAATGGTTTACCATCTCTTCCATGTGCCAAACTATAATCCAATACCTCTAGCACCCACTAAATTGTTGTTGTACTAGAATAACAATATGCAGTAGAACTGTCAGGAGCATGGCAGTCCTGAGAGAATACTACTTTGAAATCTCACGAACTTTCTCTACCGACTTGACCTTTTCTACTCTCCTAGAGAAAACCCTAGGATAAAACAATTGTTCTTAATTATGGCATATCTGGGTTATGTCAATTGGTCATATATAGTAGTGAGTCCGCCCCTTGCACCTAAATTCAAGTCTTCTCCTTATAGATTAGCTAGATTAATTTTAAATAGTTTACAGCCAAGCTTGTATTAAAAAAAAAACAATTGTTCTTAATTATGAGACACAGTGAGTGATAAATATATCAAACATTGATGTTTGTTTGTGTGCATAATGAGTCATTAAGCATCTACTATATATACTGGAGAGATCAAATATTAAATTTGTTATAATATTATGTCTAACCTTGGTGTTCTTGCAATATTCAAGGTGCTCCAACATGACTCATCGACCACCACATCAGGGCTCCTGGTGGGGTTCATGTACACTGTACCAATTGACGACGTGAACACAACCCTTTTAACCTTTGCTTCTGCCGCCGCAACAATCACATTTTTGGTTCCATTCACCGCAGGCTCCATCATTTGTTCCTATATTTGTTCCATCATTCATTGCCTTTTAAAAAAAGGGCTGGATATAGGAAATGGTGGATCCATAAATTTTGCAGGAGAGGGGTACCATTTAAAAAGCTAAAAGTTTCTTTACCCAAAAAATAAACTAAAAGTTCCAAAAAAGAAGTAGAAGAAAAAAAAAAAAAAAAAAAAAAAAAAAAAAAAAAAAAAAAAAAATTCTATTTAAACCCACACTTCTCTTAGCTCACCGATGTTCTAAGTTCACCCCAACTTTTAATTTAAATTTTCACAATTTCTAAGAAAATCCCACTATCTTCCAAACTATCATTAAATACACCCCAAACTGAAAAAATAAGAACTAAAAGAGATTTTCTATTTAAACCCCACAATTTTCTTTGTTCCAACAAAAAAAAAAAAAAAAAAAAAAAATAAAAAAAAAAAAAAAAAAAAAAAAAATTAAACCCAAATTTAATACTTTCTAGAGGAAGAGAACAATTTTACCTCTCTCCAAGAACTGTAATTGGAATTTTAACACTTGGGTATTGTTGAGAGAGAGAGAGAGAGAGAGAGAGTGATGCAGGAGCATCCCAAGCCAAACTAGGGAAGCCCAAGAGATCAGTTAAACCTCCTAATTACCTTAAAGATTATATCCCAAAATAAATTAGGAGACCTTTCCTACTGCTGATTGACTTCCTTTTATGTTTTCCTTCTGTTTTGGGTTTCCTTATTGTACTAGAATTATAATTCCTTATATTCCTAGGATTTAGTTGTTATTTAAACCTTTCTCTTGTAGACCATTTGGTCAGATTGAATTAGTGAATTTATTCAGAAAACGCAGCTAAGTTTAGCCGCAAATTGTGAGTGCTCGTTCTATATTTCTAGTGTTGGTGTAGTTTCGTTGGAGGTTCGTGTTTGAGATACCATCTCCCCATCAATTTGGTATCAGAGCTTTGGTTCTTGTGGGTGGAGAGAAGCCTTCATGGCTCATCATAGGCGTGGTCGGGGTGGTGTCCGAATGGAGGGCCGTAACTCTACAGACGACATGGATGAAATTAAAAGAATGATTCAACAACTCACTGATCGTGTCGCTCGCATCGAGACTCAAAGCCATGGTGGTGAGAGTTCCGACGGGGAGGGAGACGAAAATCCCTTTTACAACCACATGCCGATGGAAGGTGTGCAAAGGGGACGAGATCATTATGGTCGAAATTTCGACATGAAAGTAGACTTACCTGAGTTCGAGGGAAAGATGCAACCTGATGACTTTGTTGATTGGCTCAATACTGTTGAGCGTATATTTGACTACAAAGAGGTGCCGGACGAGAAGAAAGTTAAGATCGTAGCCATTAAATTGAAGAGGAATGCCTCTGCATGGTGGGAGCAGCTAAAGACTCGGCGTGATCGTACCGGAAAATCCAAAATTAAAAGCTGGGAGAAAATGAAGAAAGAGCTAAAGAGAAAATTTTTGCCAGAAAACTACCGTCAAGCAAACTTCCTGAAACTTCATAATCTGCGACAGGGAAATCGGACTATTGAGGAATATATTGAAGAATTCGATCTCTTAACCATGAGGTGTGGACTCGTCGAAGAAGAAGAACACACAGTTGCACGTTATCTGGGGGGGATGCGTAGAGAACTTCATGATGTGGTGGTCTTACAGCAATACTGGAGTTATGATGATGTCTTCAAGTTAGCCATACAAGTAGAGAAACAGATAAAGACACGGTCACGGCGTGTTGGAATAGAGGGTTCTGAGCAAAAAAATTCTTGGATGACTAAAGGCTCATCAAATTCTGAGCCAGGGAAGCATGAAGCACCTAAGACCAATGCACCAGAGAAGTTTACTACCAGCAAACCGAAAGGGATCAAGTGTTTCAAATGTTCTGGCCTAGGACATATTGCTTCTGAATGTCCTAACCGAAAAATTGTCAGTTTGGTTGAGGAATTGGGCGAATCTAGCGGTATGTTAAAAGAGATGCTGCCTATATTTGATAATTATGGGGACAATGAAGAAGAAGAGATCACATGGAGTGACCATGGAGAGTCCTTGGTGATTCGAAGGATAATGAATGCTGCCAAGGTGGAGGAGAACTCAGATTGGCTTCGGAATAATATATTCCATACCAAGTGTACCTCTCATGGAAAGGTATGTAGTGTTATTATTGATAGTGGTAGTTGTGAAAACATTGTTTCACAGGAGATGGTTGATAAAACTGAATTTGAAGACTGAAAAGAAGCCAGTCTCGTACAAGCTGTCTTGGGTCAAAAAAAGGGAATGAAGTCGTGGTGAATCAACGCTGCCTAGTGACATTCTCCATTGGGCAAAAGTATCAGGATTCTCAATGGTGTGATGTAATTCCAATGGATGCGTGCCACATACTATTGGGGAGACCTTGGCAATTTGATCGCAAGGCCACACATGACGGATACAAAAATACATATACCTTCATCAAAGATGGTGCGAAGGTTATTTTAGGCCCCTCCCAATCCGAATTTAATGTCAAATCCACGAAAATTGGTGCTGGAAGCTTTCTAACCAAAGGAGAATTCCTAAAAGAAGCGGAGGAGAGTGGCGATATGTACATGTTGATGGTGAAAGAGTCAAATCCAGATGAGCTTAATTTTCCTAAAGAATTAACACCTCTCTTGCAGGAATTCAATGATGTTATTCCTGAAGAATTACCCGCTGGGCTACCTCCTATGCGAGATATCCAGCATTGCATAGATTTGATTCCAGGTTCAACTCTCCCAAATAAAGCTCATTATCGGATGAGCCCATTAGAGTACGAGGAGCTAAATAGGCAAGTGACAGAATTGTTGAAGAAAGGGGTTATCCGAGAGAGCATGAGCCCGTGTGCAGTACCTGCATTGCTTGCGCCCAAAAAAGATGGGGACTTGGCGTATGTGCGTCGACAGTCGGGCAATAAATAAGATCACCGTGAAGTACAGATTTCCAATTCCTCGTCTCGATGATATGTTGGATCACTTGTCGGGAGCAAAAATATTTTCGAAAATAGACTTAAGGAGTGGATACCACCAAATACGAATGAGGCCCGGTGACGAATGGAAGACAGCCTTTAAAACTCGGGATGGCTTATTTGAATGGTTGGTGATGCCATTCGGATTGACAAATGCTCCTAGCACATTTATGAGACTCATGAACCAGGTATTTCGTCCTTTTATTGGAAAGTTTGTAGTTGTTTACTTTGACGATATTCTGGTTTATAGTCATAATGCTGTTCAACACATGGAGCACTTAAGACAAATCTTTGAAGTTTTACGGGAGCAGCAACTCTTTGCCAATTTGAAGAAGTGTGAATTTTTGACAGATAGCTTAATTTTTCTTGGGTATGTGATATCATCAGAAGGTATTAAAATGGATACAAAAAAAATTGAAGCAATACAAGAGTGGCCTATACCACAATCTGTCCATGAGGTGCGAAGTTTCCATGGCTTAGCTTCATTCTACCGAAGATTTATCAGAAATTTCAGCTCCATTATGGCGCCCGTGACTGATTGTATGAAGCATAATATTTTCAAATGGACTGAAACTGCAGAGAAGAGCTTTCAAACCATAAAGAAAGCTATGACTGGAGCACCATTATTAATTCTACCAGATTACCAAAAGGTTTTTGAGGTAGATTGTGATGCATCCAAAGTTGGGATTGGAGCTGTTCTTAGCCAGGAGGGGAGACCAGTTGCCTTCTTTAGTGAAAAACTCAATGACACTAGACAACGCTACTCTACCTATGATATTGAGTTTTATGCCATTATGCAATCTCTTAGACAATGGAGGCAATATCTGATCTACAAGGAATTTATCCTTTACTCTGATCATGAAGCATTGAGATTTATCAATGGGCAACACAAATTGAATCGGAGACATGCCAGATGGGTGGAAGAATTGCAGGAGTACAATTTTGTGATTAAACACAAGGCTGGAATCCACAATAGAGTAGCAGATGCTTTAAGTCGCAAGGTGGCCTTATTATCTGTCATGCAAATTAGAGTGGAGGGCTTTGAGCAAGTGCAGGAGTTATATAAAGGAGACAAAGAATTTGGTGAAATCTGGTCCGAATGTGTGCACAATAATTCAGTACAAGATTACCATATTCAAGATGGATATTTATTCAAGGGGAGCAAATTATGCATTCCTGATTGTTCTTTACGGTTATGGATAATTGAGGAGCAACATGGGGGAGGCCTTGGAGGACACTTTGGGCGAGACAAAACAATTGATCTTGTTGAGAACAAATTTCATTGGCCCAAGTTGCGAAGAGATGTGGAGAGATACGTACAAAGATGTAGGACTTGCCACGTGGCCAAGAGTCGTAGTCAGAACACGGGGCTTTATACTCCTTTGCCAGAGCCACGGGCACCGTGGGAAGACATTAGCATGGATTTCGTTGTTGGCCTTCCAAAGACAAAACAAGGATTTGATTCAGTCATGGTAGTTGTTGATCGCTTTTCGAAGATGGCCCATTTCGTTCCTTGTAAAACAACCATGGATGCTAGCAATATTGCCCATATTTATTTTCAGGAGATTGTCAAATTGCATGGGATTCCCACTACAATTACATCAGATAGAGACACCAAGTTTGTGGGACATTTTTGGAGGACTTTGTGGCGTAAGATGGGGACCCGGCTCCAATTTAGCAGTGCACATCATCCCCAAACGGATGGTCAGACAGAGGTTGTCAATAGGACCCTTGGTAACTTATTGAGGTCTTTGGTTAGTAGCAATAAAACGGGCTGGAATGATGTTCTACCGCATGCAGAATTTGCATATAACCAGTCAAAAAGTAGAACCATTGGAATGAGCCCATTTGAAGCTGTCTATGGTCGCAACCCTTCTAGTCCAATTGACTTAATTCCTTTGCCGGTAGAGAATCGTTTTAGTGGGGATGCCAATGACATGGTTGATCATATCAAGAAGGTCCATGAACGTGTTAGCCTTCGACTTAAAGAGAGCAACACCAAGTATAAAGAAAGTGCTGATAAACATAGGCGTTACAAGGAGTTCCAAGAAGGGGATTTAGTGTGGATCAACTTAAGAAAGGAGAGATTCCCTCGTGGAAAATATGGTAAATTGCATGATAGAGGTGGTGGACCATACAAAATATTGAAAAGGGCTGGTCAAAATGCTTATGTGCTTGAGTTGCCGAATGACATTGGTGTCTCGCCTACATTCAACGTCGCTGACTTACAAGCTTACTATGGTGAGAATGAAACTCCAGATTTTGACTCGAGGTCGAGTCCTTTCCAACCCGAGGAGTCTGATGCAGGAGCATCCCAAGCCAAACTAGGGAAGCCCAAGAGATCAGTTAAACCTCCTAATTACCTTAAAGATTATATCCCAAAATAAATTAGGAGACCTTTCCTACTGCTGATTGACTTCCTTTTATGTTTTCCTTCTGTTTTGGGTTTCCTTATTGTACTAGAATTATAATTCCTTATATTCCTAGGATTTAGTTGTTATTTAAACCTTTCTCTTGTAGACCATTTGGTCAGATTGAATTAGTGAATTTATTCAGAAAACGCAGCTAAGTTTAGCCGCAAATTGTGAGTGCTCGTTCTATATTTCTAGTGTTGGTGTAGTTTCGTTGGAGGTTCGTGTTTGAGATACCATCTCCCCATCAGAGAGAGAGAGAGAGAGAGAGAGAGAGAGAGTTTGTAAACAAGAAGTTGGAAGGAGGTTTCTAAAACTTAATATGAAGAGTGGTGGGGGTGTGTGGGGGTGTGTGTATAAATGTACTAGGGTTAATTATTAAGTTGGATGACCTTTGTTGTCTTTTTACACAATAATAAAACTTACAGCTTAATGATTTAAGTATTGGGGTGAACAAAGAGAAGTGCGGAGTTTAAATAGAAAATCTCAAGAATAAAGATGGTCTATTAATTAATAAATATTAGATATGTTAATAAGTGGCACCAGAAACTACAACCTATTCAATTAATAGTGAATTCTAGAGTCTTTTTCTCAAACGAAACAAAAACCTATCAATAAATATTATATATGTAATTACGCATGTCCCATTTAAAAGTTATTGAGGGCCCATATTTTTGGGCTTTACCAATAAAACGCACGCTTGCTTTTCGAGAACTCAAGCTTAAATGAAACGATGTGTTCCATTAAAAGAGATCAAAGAAAGAGAACGGTGTCGTTCTAGCAAAAGAAATTAGGTCTATCTTCTTCTTTGTGAAAACCTGCACCTCAGACTCCATACATCAATCCATTAATTTTGAAATCTATATATAAAATCAAAATTCAAATTAAATATATAAAAGGTCATACTACTCCTCCATATTTACATTGCTTGCCACTAAACTTTAAATAAGTCAACCTGATTGTTTTCAAGCATGTCAGTAAGTCCTTCATTTCTAATTAATTCTTCATCATTTATATATCAATGACGTTGGTTTTTTTTCTGTTTTTGGGCATTCCCTCTAATCCCTAAAATTTCGACCAATAAAAAAAATCCTTAAATTTTCGACCAACAAAAAATTCCTCAACTTTTGTCCTAATAAAATATAATTGGTAAATTATTATCAATACAATATGTATATATCCAATACAATATAATAGGTAAATTATTATCAATACAATTTACCCATAATAAGTAAATTACAAGTTATATTATTGCATAATAGGAAATATTAGGTAAACTATATCCAGAATACTTTTATAAAAGTTGGGTACATTATTTGAATATTAAGTAAATTCATTTTCGTAAAAGAAGTAATAGGTATATGTTATGTTTTCAACATAAAATTGTATGTATGCTATTATATTTATAAAATAATAATGTAATAGATAATTAATCATGCATACTTCATAAGTAATCATAAGTAAATTAAAAAAAAATATTATTGGATAAACTGATTAGGTATGTTAAAATTGAACGTATTGTTAAGCTTTAAAAAGTTTCCAAATTAATCTTACATCCATTTGGAGATCTTTTCAAATTCAACGTGTGCCAGTAGTTACAATCTAATTAAAATTTGTTTCTGTGTTGGTTCCAACATTAATATATAAAATATATTAATGACTTAGTTGGGGGTATTTTAGGATCGAAAAAGTACAATAAATTCGATTTTGCGTTTGATTAGGTAACTTCCCGAGTTGGATCCTAGTCATCAGGTTTTATATAGAAAAAAAATTGGATATTATTCAAACAAAAATAAAGAGATGGGTTGTAATTGAAAAAAATTACTTTGAAGGGGTTAAGTTAAATTTACTATTAAAAATGACAATAACAAATCCAATCCCTTCAAAATATTTTAATAGCATAGAGATAATATATTATAGTAGAAAATCATGAGCAAATTTTATTTTGAGTTAAGGTACAATAATATCTTTTAATCAAGGCATTTGGGATACATGTTGGAGAAATTTGTTATGGTTCTACAATACATCCACGTGTTAAGGTATGGCCTAAATTGGTAATTTTAAAACCTCATTAATTTTTCCAACAAAAAAAAAGGTAACTAAAATGTGAGGTTTAAATTTTTTATTTTTTTTATAAAATGGAAATCTAGAGAGAATAACACTCGAAAATAACTTTTCTAAAACCCCTTTCAACCGCCATAATTTCCCTGAATATAGTCCAATGGCATCAAAGACAAAAACTAGCCTCGACATGACTCTTAAAAAAACTAAGAACACCCAGCAAACTCAACTAATCTTTTGAAATCATGAGAGGAAAAAACACATAAAATTCATAAAGTTTCTGGACTTTATTGAACAAACTAAACCAAAATAATACTAAAAACTAAAACAACGTCGGCAAAAGGAAAATTATCCGCCACTAATCTTCTTTTGGGGTAAGACATAGAGAGAGCCACCTAATTACTCCAGGCCTCAACACACCAATGAGTAGTGGATCTACCGTGATCAAGCCGCAACACCTCAAATTGCAACCTCGCAAGATGTGGCACAACCAAAGCTAGCCTAGATCTGAGACAACAGATTTCCCAAAAGAAGAGTAGATTGATAGAGGTCCCCCAAAAACCAAAGAACGTCGAAGATCCAACAGAATTCGGGAGCCGAAGGGTCCTCTCTCTTTTTCTTTCCCTCTCTTAGGGGCTAGGGTTATGTACCCTAAAATGTGAGTTTGTTTACCAAACTACTAGACATGCATGTTATTTTTCTTTAATTTTTTTTCTTATCTTAATCTTTAGTTAAGATGTAATCATGACACCATGCTGCGAAAATGTAAATTGTTTCGTATAAGATAATGAATATATCGATACAATAGTAGGAGAAAATTAAAGCCGCTTAACTTTCTAATAGACTTTATAATGTGGGACGCGAATTTGAAAGAGAATTTAAGAAAATATGAAAAGGGAAATATCTTCACCCAACCAAAACCAACATCCGTTACCAAACTATTCCTTTCTTGGCCAGTGTTTTTTTTCCTTTTAAATACTCATATTATTTAAGAAAGTATTATGGGACTTAATTTTGGAGGTACACAACATCACAATCGACAAAAGCAAGTGGTTTCTGACCCAGAACCACCACGTAATAGTTTTGTTTGAAGGATCCACAAACTGATCGAAAAAGTGTGCATATTTTCCTCCACGTAAGAGAAAAAGTGTGCATATTTTCCGGCATTTTCTCAGCAACCAAACAGGAAAAGGAAGAAACAAAGTAAGGAAGCAATGACAAAAAAGAACTCACTGGGTCATCCGTAACCGGTGATGCTGTGTGAAAAACGCCATCACAGCCGTTGATGGCTTCTTTAAGGCTCTCAAAGTCAAGAAGATCAGCTTTACGTAAAGTCAACCTATCTTGAGCTCCTTGAAGCTCCCTCAAATGAGCATTCTTTGGGTCATCTGTGATCAACCCAAAATAAGAAAAGCACCAAAAAAGAAAAAAAACATATCAATACAAGGAAGAATTATGTCTCCCAATATATGTTACGTGTTATGTCAAACTGGGAATCAAAACCGCAAATTTATATATAATTCAAATAAATTAATGGTCAGTTCTAATTCACAGTCCTACGATATAACATGTCGATACTCCGAATGGGAGACAAAAAACAACTCAGAGGCCAAGAAGATAATGATTTGGATTTTGGAGTGACCTGGGTTTCTCAAGGTTCCCCTAACAATGTAGCCTCTTTCTAGCAACAGTTTGACAATCCAGGAAGCAATGAAGCCTCCAGCTCCGGTGACACAAACAGTTTGGCCATGGCCTGAAACTGGAGAGCTATCGGCAGGCATCTTAATACTTAGCTTGGTTTTAGGGTAATGAAATTTTTTTTGTTTGTTTCTCTTTGGGTGGTGGGAGTGGAAGAGATCAAAATAGAGACAGAGAGAGAGTTTGAAGTTTGTGTTTTGTGATGGAATAGCTACTAGTGTGGCTTTATAAGGAGAAGAAGAGCCTACCAGATCACCCACCGCCGGTATAAAAAATAAATATTTGAGAAAAAGATAAAGATATGCGAGGCTTTAACAATTGCTTTTTCTTTTTGGGTCCGAGCTTTAATAAGGGAGTATTTTTGCTCGCCGTTTTAATTCAAAGTGTAGCATCACCACCCTCTTAAAAACTTGACACACGTTTATAAGTCTAACTATAGTTAATTTTTTGTTTTTTATTACGAGAGAGAAAAACATAACTATGCTTTTAATAAAATTTAAAATAAAACATAATTATTATAAAATAAAAACGAAAACCCAGAGAGTCACCACGCACCGCCACCCACCAAACCAACCTGCTCAGCCACCCCACCGCCACCGTTGGCAACCCCCTTTCCTTCTTGCGGCCGGAAACCCCCTGGCGGACTCGACGAGCTTCATGGTTTCGGTGATTTTCTGGGTCCTCTTTATAGAATCAATTCGGACTCGGAGTTCACCCAGACCGCAATGGATAGTTGGGGTTGGTAAAGATTGAGAATGGAGACTTGGGCGTGAGATTTGGGGCAAAAGAGTTTTAGGATTTTGGAGATAGAAAATGGAGGTTTTGCAGAGACCCACATGATTGTATTGGATAAAGCCATTGGCTTTTGTTGGGTTTTGCAGAAATTTAGCAAATTGAAATCTCTGCGAAATACCTAATTGGTTAGTGGCTGGTTGAACCTTTATTAAAGCATCAAAACTGAAAATTTCTTTTGGTAATTGGGTCTATGTGAACCCATTCTGTTGATGGATGTCTGCTCCATAATCGGGGTTTAATTTGATTTAGGTTACCTGGAGATAGAGGGTAGAGCTGAGCATAAGTTTTGGATTCGCCAGAGTTCACGCAGAGAGAAAATCATTGAATACGTATAAAATGAGGTGTTTCTGGCGGCGAGGAGAGGGTGTTATCGCCGATTGGGGTGGGGGGAGGGGTGGCTGGGTGTTGTTGGGTTTTTTGTTTTTGTTTTAATAATTAGTTTTTAATTTTTAATTTTATTAAAAGGTTTTCTCTTTCATAATAATGTTATAAAAAACAAAGATTAATGGTAGTTAAACTTATAGACATGTGTCAAGTTTTTAAGAGAGTAGTAAGGCTACATCTTTGATTAAAGTAATAAGCAAAAATGCTCCCGTTTTAACAATTGCTTTGTCTAACAAGTGGAAGACAAAATGTCACATGAGCCACGTGACTTTCTATTTTTTTCTTTTCGTTGTAGAATAATGATATTTTAATTGGTGTTATTGGTGGCGTTTTAAATGAGTGGTTTATGAATTCTTACGTTTGAGTTTGGTTATAAACTTTTATTTATAAGAGTAGACACCAATCAATCGTAATCAATTTGGCCCTTCATCTTTGGGTCAACATTAATTTGGTCCTTTGTTGTTATATGCCGACCAAATTTTCAATAAAAACTAATTACGTGTCATCGCAAGAGCCACTTTAAAGGGATTGTCATCTAATTATAGTTTATTTCAGTCTAAAGCTCATGTTTTTGCTCAACAAGGCCATATTTTACCAATTAGGATTTCACACTAGAGTCCATCAAGGAGAACAAATAGCCTTATTGAGTAAAATAGATTGTATTTGAACGCAAATACCCCTTCAAAGTTGGTTAGACTAAATTTAACAAAGATTTTGACAAATGCAAATGAGAGGGACAAACTTGGACTAAAAAATTAAGAATCACATTGATTGATTTGAATATTTAAGAACTTATAAAAAGTTAGGGGGATTCACTATTATACCCAATATAGGGGCCCAAATTATAAAAATACCCTTATATGAAAATAGACTTTAGAAACACATCTAAGTACCAGTTTGACATTGCTTATTTGGGGTGATAAGTGATTTTAAAAAAATTTTGAGAAGCCCAACCCGTTTGGTAAACTATGAGAAAATCACTTATTGTTAAAAATTGCTGTGAGAGAAAGCTATAAGGGAAAGTAGCTAATGAGGTGCTTTCATTTTCTGATTATGCAGGAATCAGTTTCGAAGAGGCGCTGGGTTTAATGATTATGCGACAATCATTTTTTTATTATACGTAAAATCAATCCCAACAACACATTTAACAAAAATTTTACCAAACACCAAACGGCTTTCTCTCACAGCTGATTTCCCTCACAGCAAATCTAACAGCGATTATTTTCACAGCACAGCAATGCCAAACTGGCCCTAAAGCTCATTTACAACATAACAAAGAGATTTTTAACTTCTTATAAATTACAAAATTGTCATCAAATTCTTAAAACAAGCCCAACCCCCAAAAACATCATAAAAAACCCCAAAATACTCAATAGGGTATCAAAGTAATTTAATAATTAAACTTAAATTCAATAGCTGTCATTTTTTGAGTTTTTTTTGGGTTTGTTTATAGAAATTCAATGGTGTATGGTTTATTTATATTATTAGTGCTAAGAATGGGTATATGACTAAATATTTCAAAAGTTATGGGATCGTTGGTGATAAAAACCTTTTTTTATTTTAATACTAAGATATTGAAGAAGGGGGAATCAAGTTGGGACCTAAGTGCAAGGGTAAACACCCACACATTTGTTAAAAAATAAAATAAAATAAAATAAAAATCTACTCATCTCATCCCCATTATTCCCAAAATATATCCCTTCATTCTTCTTCCTATTCACCTTTTGCTTCCCCTTCTCCAAATTTTTTTTGTTGATATTCTAAATTATATTGTATTTGTAGCTCAAATGGTTAATATGAGTTATTATTGTATCTGAGGTCATGTATTTGATTGCTACATCCACCAATATCACTTGTACATATAAAAAAAGATGTAGTTCTAATGATTTTGCAGGTGTTATAATTTGAGTAAATTCTCTACGACATAATGACATGCCATAATGACACGACCAAAAAATTAGAACGTGTTCTAGTTATCTTCTTATATCACTTGTATCACAATTTTAATATAAACTCCAAGCGAAACTACACGAATTTTCACTATGACACAAATTGATATTTTATTCTTCTTGTGATTATGTTATTCGGATGTGGAAATTTTGTCTTTCAATTATAGTTCATTTTAGTCTTAAAACTCATGTTTTTGCTCATTACTTTAACCATTAGACTAAATTTGAGTAAAAGAGGTTGTATTTGAACGAAAATACCCCTTTAAAGTTGGTTAGACTAAATTTAATGAAGATTTTGATAAATGTAATGAAAGGGACCAACCTGTGTGTATGCTAAAAGATTAAGAATCACATTGATTGATTTGAAAATTAAAGAACTCAATTGAGGACTTATGAAAAGTTATGGGACCATTGGTGAAAAGTTATGGGACTTATGAAAAGTTTTGGGACCATTGAAGATTTTGACAAGTCCATGGACGTTTCTGATCAATTTGGTGGGTTTGGTTAAGTCACTTGCAACCCAGGTTCGGTGTCTGATTTGATCTAAATATAATTTACTTTACTCTTTTTTTAATCATAGTTTAAACTACAAGAGAATGAGGTTTCTCACACACACTACTAAAGTGATATGAGGGTTCAAACTTGAGACTATCGATATGCAAATCAAGGTTATTTTCCAATGAGCTAGACCCGTTGGCTTAAAAAACAACAACAAAAAAAATAAGTAAATTTAGGTTTTAGCCAAAAAAAAATTTCACTTTTGGGAAAAGCCAAAGCTTTTTCAAAAAAGACAGAAAAACTTCTCAACTTTCAAATCAAAGACATGCAAATGTAAAGTCTCTCCTTTGTGTTTTTCCAAAGTCTCCTTAAAAAATATATATATATATATATATTTTTGTAAAAACTTATTCTAGTTTGTTAGAGACAACAATCGAGCTAAGAATGACCAGGTCCAAATAGTAGAGCCCATTTATTGGGTTAAGGGTTGTCCGACCTTAAATGAGAAAATTTAGGCCTGTAGCTTAGCCTATCTACTTTTTTCTGCCGGCAAGAGGCTACTCATCCAATATATATAATTTAATTTTGGTTGCAATTGCACTCCTAGCAGTTTTAATGAGAAAAAGAACCTATCCTCTCAACTGCTTTGACTGCCTTTTTTTCTTTCTTTCTCCAAGTTCTTTAAATAAAGTAGGGAAGTTGTTGAATAAGAAATGAAATATGAACAAAGACTCAATTTGAATCGTTTCTTCAATTGAGTTTGAAAGTTGGAAAGTACCATTTCAACCAAAAGATGTATTGGTTGGTTTGTACCTTTTCAACTAAAAGACATATTGGTTGATTTTTACCTTCTCAACCAAAAGACATATCGGTTGGTCAAAGAATCAAATTCAATTGTCGTAGAACTTGGGATTTTTTTTCCAGCACAAGTTTGGAACTTGGGATTTTTTTCCAACAAATTGCAGAGAAAACTAACAAGAAAATAAAAGAGTTCGATATGGGATATAAGATTTTTCATTAAGAAAAAGATGAAATCTAATGGCTCATTTGATAATCATTTCAATTTGAGTTTTTAGTTTTCATTTTTGTGTTAGAGTACAGAGGAAAAAGAGGGAGTGTGGAAGTGAGAATGAGACTTAAGGGAAGATGAAAGGAGAGGATGAGAGAGAGGAGTAACAAAAGTGAAAACAAAACAAAAAACTGAAAACTATTTGAAATTGTTTTCACTTTCAAGTTTTTGTTTTCAATTTCGTTACTCTCTCTCATCCTCTCTCTCTCAATCTCATCCTAACTTTCATTCTCACTCTTAATTTCCCCTATACTCTAGCACAAAAAAAAATTTAAACTAAAAACTAAAATTGAAATTGTTATCAAACGGGCCTTAATTGAGCTCACTTTTCAGTACAAATTTTTTTTTTTTTTTTTTTTTTTTTTTTTTTTTTTTTTAGTTCAGAGAAACACAAGTCAAGACCCAACAACCATTTTCCAACAAGACAATGAGGGCACAAATGTTGACAAAAAGGGGATTTTCAAAGGTCTACCAACCAAATTCTCGAATCTTCTTTTAATCAAATACATCCTCCCTAAACTTTTTAATAGGAAAAAAAAAAAAAAAAAAAAAAAAGACTTCATGATTTGGTTTTTCTTTGTTTTAATTTCTTTGGCTTTTCAATTCCCACAGTTTTGGAGATTTGTTTTTTATTTGTTTTAATTTCTTTGGCTTTGCAATTCTCACATTTTAGAGAACACCCCCACATATTTTACAAATGAACAAGAAAACAAGCTTTCAAATCCCCATAAGCTATAACTCTCTCACCCAATATCCATGTATAACTTTGTCAATTGCGTGATATGGTGGCATGATATAAAGGATTATGGCATAGTTTTCACTCTTCTAATTAAAGCTATCTCTTCTCTTTTATGAAAACAACTCTTCTAATTAAGCTTTATTATTAGTTTTAGTCCACTCATTTTTGTCACAGAAATCGACCCAAAAGTACTTGCAGCAGAAAGTCCAAGAGCTAGAGTTAATTTGCATTGATAGGACCCAACCCAAATTCCACTTTGGAATATGAACCAAATCCTGTGCGTGTCCGACACCTGGCGGATGCCGGGCACAAATGACTGAATTGCCCTCCTAACTACAAACCAAATTTTCTTCATGTTTGACGTCTACTGAAAATAGGACAGAGTCTCCCTTGAAAATAGTCTATTCCCAAATTATTTCCACCTGTACAAAACTACAATATACATATATCCACAATTGCTCAACATGCTCAATACATAATTCAAGCAACCAACATCTAATCTTTTTGGCCTCAGGCCTCTCGAAAACAAATAAAATTTTCTGCCAACATAAACATATTCAAGGAAATAACACGAATACATTTATAGATTTCAAAATAGCTTAACTGAACAGATTTTCAATAATTTGGTCTCGCGGCTGCACCTAACAACTCTAGGTTGCCTACGTACCATTAATAATGGATCAAGTCATACGTAGTTCTTTCTCTCATTCGTTGGAAACGGTGGCCGAAGGAGGGAGATCGAATGACGGGAAGTTTAGAACCAAACCGGCCTATTTTAGTGAGAATTCGTCTACTACGGTGGCTGCCGGTGTCAGAGGTGGGGTGGAACGGAAGGAGGAGGACATGGCGGTCCTTTTGGGACCAGTGCCGGCACAGATGACCGCCTGTGGTGGCGGTGGTGACCTCTGTTGGTCTGTTGCGAATCTCGCGGCCTGGTGCTCCAAGTCGAGGGGACGTGCGTCAACACGTGACGTCCTTCTTTTGGATGTGGTGCGGTTGTGCGCGGGCGTGCCAGCACGGTCTACCGTGCGTCGAGATGATGATGAGGTTCGGGTAGAAGATGATTTAAATGTTGCGCCTGTTTTGCGTTCGACTCCTAATCAAATGATCGTGGCCGAGTGAGGAACGAATCTTGACCGTCAGGTTCACAGCCTGAGCTACAAGGCCGTTTAATGATGGTGTTGGTGGTGGGTTTTAGGCGGTGCTCCGGCGCGTTGCTCAAAGAGCGACTGTCGTATGATATATGGGGTCGAGTGAGCCGATAACAGAGATGGTGCTCCGGCGCCTTGAAAATCAAGGGTCGTATGATATATTGATGAATGGATTTTCCTTACAGTCTACTACTACTCCTAAGAAAGCAAATAAAGGTATTGAAAGTGCATTACAGGAAAATATAATTTGCTCCGTGAGAGGCTTTTGGTTTTGGTGTTTGAACCATTTGAATGTGGTCTTGAGCTTAGTATTTATAGGAGTCCTTGAGGGATATTCGAGGCAGACAAGACCTGCGTGGTGGAGCCTGACCGGGGCAAATGAGTAGTCAAATCGGCATTTGGGATCGTGAAGCATGGTGGTCTGGGGTTGAGAAGCATGGTGGTGTGACCCCTATAAATCTCGGCAAATCTCGGCCACCGCCCTGATCGTGGGTTTTGCCCTCTTGGCCGTGGGAACGCATTTAATGCCCTGGTCTGGTGGTTGGTGATCTGACCCTAAGTCGTAAGATTACTTGTGAGAATGTCTGCGCCTAACCACCCTGATTCCCATCACCAAATCCTGACTTCAGTCACTTCCCTCGTGCATTGAATGTTTCTTGTGACTAGTGGGTTTTGCTGCGAAGTCAGAGGCATTACTTCATTAAATGGAGCGTGGGGCCTTGAGGCCACGTGGCGATTCAACCACAGCTTTTCAAACCGTGTCTTTTACGGCCTTCGGCCTTGACTTTTAAAACTGCGGTCGCGAGGCCGAGGGGATTCTGCCTTTGCAGCTTTTCTTCTGCTCTTAGGAAGGCGAAATGCCTGACGAAATGGTAGGCGCTAGGGCGGAAGGGAAGTCCCTTCAATCAGTTCATGATCGTGATTTATTAGGCACAAACAACCTCCAGACTGAACGGCTCCACAAAACAATCGGGGGGGTGGGGTTTTCACGACATAGAGAGAGAGAGAGAGAGAGAGAGAGAGAGAGAGAGAATGAGAGAAATCTGGATTTTAAAAAACCAGTTTGGAAAAATTACCATTTTGCCCCTACATTAGTTTTAATTGTATCTTTCTTAATACAACTCGGATTTGTGCCCACTACATGTCTATGGACTCATCTCGACATGCTCTACGCAACGGTATAATTGAAATCCCCAAATTCCTTCCTAATAAAAAAGTCAACTTTTAAACTATTAAATATTACATGGGTAAAATTGTCTTTTACTTGAATAAATTAATAAACAAATATTGATTTAGGATCGGGTTGTTACATGCGTGCACTTCAAAATGTCTAATAGATGAATGAGAATCAAAATCAAAAACAAAACCAAAAGGCACTCTGAAGTCTCAAGTTCAACCAACTCTGCAATAAGCCCCACATGCCCTACACGAAGAATGATTAGATGTCACAAAGAAGGGCAACACGGCCAACACAAAGAACAAGAGTAAGAAACGGACTTCCTTTTGTAAACAATATTGGACAAGGGGAATTCAAACACATGATCTCAGGTGCATGGGTAACTATTTTTAATCATATGAGCTACAAACCCCTAACAAGAGACTTCTTTATATAGTTTCAAGGCCTAAAATGGTTATATTAATTACATATGATTAGGTGCCAATTGAGTCTCATATACCTACAATTTAAACAAAACTTCCAGGCAAATGACTCATTATCGTAGTAGTTTGGAGTAATTGCTCTCCCACAGGCAAAGTCTTGGGTTCAAATCCTAGCATCCGTATAGTATGTGTACGTTTAGTATATTATTGCCCTTCCCAACAAGGAAGGTCCTTAAAAAAAAGAAACAAACGAAGAAACAAACCTTCCAGTGCCATCTTTTATAAAATAAGATGGAAAAAAGAGAGGACTAGGCAAAAAAATACAGCAAATGCCACCATAATGGCAGGTGCTGCAATAACAAGAATCAATGATAAACTTAAAAGCCAAGCACAAGAGTACTGTAATTGAGTTCAGATGTGGGTTTCTCCCCTACGTTCACAGTAAGAGTTCAATTCTTGTGTCTCCCTCTCCCCTTAATACAATTAAAAAATAAATGAATTTCTTTTCAGAACCTTAGCAATTCAAATTCCAGATTCCAAACAATGATGACCAGAAGAAAGTCGGCAATCTTCACCTTATTGAAGATGGAATGCCATAATCTTTTTAGAGCCTTTCTATTTATGCTTCAGTCATCGTATTTTTTTCTTAGATAGGGGCACTCCAACCGGTATCTCAATACCTATTGAAGTTGATGCTATCAATGCATCACTAGAGGAGGAAGCTACCGCCAAATTACTTGACACCACTTTAGGAGTTTAGGGAAGTGCAAGTACATGTTAGGCAATTTCCTCTAAGTTGACAAACTCAACTTGCATTGATTCGTGCCTGGCTTCACTTGAGTCTACCGATTGTTGACTTATTCCTCCATCATACACAATTATCCTATTGTCTTCTATAGGATCTTCTATAAGGAACTCAGAATCGGTACCCTCATTTTCGACACCCTCAAATTCGTATAACAACCCTCTCAAATTTCTCTCCAATGCTAAGTGTTCTATCTTCTACCTAGGCAAGGACTTTATACCCTTGTGGCATATTGACACCTCAATTCATGAGCCAAGTTGCAACTCAACTACCCATAATGACGCCTCGTTCCCAACACTAACGACCTTCATTACGATATGATTACTCAAACTATTTCTGCCCTATGGCATGCATTTGATTACCAACCTTTGAACTTTCTCAAAATTAGCACGACTTGCGCGTTGTCTCCTTACCAATTGGTAAGACGCATGTCTATCATCTAGGAGACTCTCGTGTACCATATGCGTGCAGTCTCCCAACTGATCGAGAAGATGCGTGATGATCTTTTAAGAGACTCTAGCACGACAAGTGCATAGTCTCCCTACTGACCTTGATGACGCATGCCGATCGTGTAGAAGACTCTATGCGCGACTAGCGCTCTTTGTGTTAATTCACCTCCGGTTACCTCCATGCCAAAACAACTTCTAGATTGCAAACTTGGGGGACATAGGACTGTCTCCGGCATGCGATACGATTATTTGACATTTTACAAGTCCTCAACCCAGAAGCCACTTCTCGACCAAGGCATTGGTCATTGGGGGACTCGTATAGAGACAAACCCACAAATTGTCAAAGAGGAGACACCCCAAGAAAACTTCTAACTTAGAGTATTGATGACGTCATCATAACTAAAGGTACCAAGGATACATCTTTCTCTGATAGGGCAACAGACTGCCGAAGGCCAAGCCTGCAAAACCTAGACCTTGGGACACTTGTCACTATCATAATGATTTGCCCAAAGTCCTACATCTAAACTTTGTGCGAACATCCACTTCCTCTTTTCTATAAAAGGGGAATAGTGCTAAGGTGAAAAGGTAACTACATTTGACCCTTACTCTTACTGTGCCAAAATTATCACTTACCTCATATTTGCTGACTTTTAACCCTTACCCTTACAACACCGGTGCCTGAAGCCTAACGAATTCTTGTCTCGTTTCCCTCTTCAAGTTGATCTAGTTGTTGAAGGCATCCTTACCAAAGGTCCTCACCATTCAATCCTTGCCGAAGACGTCATACTTCATCATTCTAAGCAGAGCCGGCCCTGGCCCAAGGAGACCAGGGTTATAGCCCGAGGCCCAAAATACAGTTTTTTTTCTATAGAAAAAAAAAAAAAAAAAAAAAAAAAAAAAAACAAAAAAAAACAAACAAAACAAAACAAAACACTTAAGTCATAAGTGTGTGTGGAACCAAAACCAATTCTCCTCCTTTCCAATAAAAAGTCAAGTGAACAGAATAATAATTTCAGAATTGATAACCTGTTGGGCAAAATCAAAGTGATTGATTTATCAATCTGTGGGTTTCAACCAGCAGTCAAAGCCAAAGTAAAAAAACTACTTTTAAAAAGGAACTGGTATTTCTTCTATCTCTGTTTTGGTCGAAATGGTATTTCTTCTATGGGTCTTGGCCATCTTGAAAAGAGCATAATTGAATGAAGGGATGAAGGGTTGTTTTTGCAATTTGGAATTTTGAAAAGGTATCAAAACTTTCGTTTGTTTTTTTTCTCATTCTTTTCCTTTTGAGTTGGTTTGGTTGAGTGCCTTTTGTTTTTAGCTCAGCAATTTTACTCACTCATTATCATCTTTATATTAATAAATTAACCACCATATTCTGTCAATATGTTTTGTTAGTTTTCTTAACTTCTTTATATTTTAAGTTGATTTGAATTTTTTTTTTAATTTTATACGAGCACTGAATGTTTAGAGGATGAGAATTGAATGTTTAGTTTAGTTTTAAGTGATTACATTTGAAGGGAAAAATATGCTCAAAACCCAGATGTTATATTGTTCTCTGTTTATTAGTTAAATTATTAGAGTTGAACATTTCATGCTTGAGTATGATTGATCATGTAACATTCCACATCGATCAATGGAGAGAGTGTGATGTGCCTTATATGTACATATCCACCTCCATCTAGCACAAGACCTTTTGGGAGCTCAATGGCTTCGGAGTCATGGGAACTCCGAAGTTAAGTGAGTTTGGGTTAAAGCAATCTCATGATGGGTGACCCACTGAGAAGTTGCTCGTGAGTTCCCATAAACAAAAAATATATCTTTAGAAAAATATTTTCTTAAAAAAATCAATGCTTAGTTTGGACATGGACAACATTTTTCTAAGCACTACATGGTACACTTCAAATAAATTGTAAGTCCCTTTTGATTGAATCAGAAGTTCGAAATTAAATTCTAAGAATAGACAACATGACCTCAAGGAAAAATAAATTGTAACAATTTTGTAAGCACTACATGGTACACTTCAAATGAATTGTACGTCCCTTTTGATTGAATCAAAGATTCCAATTTCAATTCTCAAACCTTGACTGAAGACAGTAGATTGTGTTTGGGCTCTCATCCCAACTTCGGTTGCTCTTTCCAAAATTCTGCACACCTTAATGTCCCTAGAGGAAGCTTCACTTTGATAGAATCCAAAAGCACCAGAACTCATTCCTTGGTGTCAGCTGTTGTTACACTTTTCAACCATCTCATCCAACGAAAAAAAAAAAAAAAAAAAAAAAAAAAAAAACAATGCTACCACATAAGAAAACAAATAAAATTAATATTAACTTGAGAAAAAATTGAAAGATAGTTACGCATCATGTTGTTTGATAGCTCACAGCTCAAGGCACGATTGTTGATCACCAATATGCATAATGCTCATGAACTCACACATATATAAAAAGATGATGATTTAATCACTTATGAAGGCTAACAAGGAACAACCACATGAGTTTTCAATATAAACTCTCGAAAACTCTTTGCAAGAATATTTTGTCGTTCTATTTTTTCCAAAAGCCGCAGAGTTAAAAACAGCACAAGTCCCTTCTTATTTTTTTCCCGCTTAAAACTAGGTCAAAGACCAAAAAAGGCTTTTAGCAAATATGGGCTTTTTAACAAATAAAGTATTTCTTTAAAAAAATAAAATTAAGCCACTTAACTAAAATCCAACTAAAAAGACAAAAGAACCCTTTTGCTTAAATAAACACCAAACTAAAGAGTATAAAACCATCGTTAAAAACTCATTGATGTTTGACACTAGATTATGTAAGACTGAAACCATATATCAATCCTATATACCTGACGGTCACTTTTGATGAACTTGCAAATATGCAAATATGAATGCATGGATACAAAACATACCTTGGCATTGTCTCTGAGCCAAATTGATCCAGGATAGCAGAACGTCACTTAAAAACTATAGGTTACACTCAAAGACCTACTCTATATTTTTGTAATAGGAAATTGCCAATATACCAAAAATTGGTCCTAAGCGAGCACAGTGCAAGCTAGGAGCGTACATAGATGTACACCTTACTCAACACAAATATAAATTATTTCTTCTTATTCTTTTTCTCATTATCAGTTTTTGATACTAACCCTGGATTTTCATCAACCTCAATCCTCACACTTCCGATGGCCTTTTTAATTAGGCTTGGGATAACTACAGATAGGAACGACAAACTGCGTTCCCCTAAGCATGCACATAAATTCGTCCACACCTGCAAACAACTTTTACTTACAAGCTACACAAACTGAAATATGACTAATATACTTACAGCATAAGTAAGAGTTACTGAGGAAGAATTGTTGTCTAAAGTGAATATATTCTTCAACATCTAAACACCATGGAAGATAAAATCAAACTCATCAGAGGAAGGGACTTTTCCCCATGCCTTCCAGAATATAAGAATGGTGTCAAAGGCACTGATCCGGCTGTTAAAATGCTCCTCTTTATTCAGCGAAATAGCCTTTAGGCATCACCTTCTTGAAAAATTTGTCTTGATCGTAGCCCTTTTTTAGAAATAAAAAGAAGTCAAAAAGGGGTACTACAAAGTGTAAAATACAACTGAAAAAACAACACAAATTTAAACCTGGATCGCATCAAGTCGGTTTGTATTTGATAATGCGGCGTCCTTCAATATGCTCACTTTCATTCCAACCTTGTATATTCACCTTAAAAAAATTAAGCTAATTAACAGAAACAAATAAATACTGAGCACAATTCATTGAGGGTAGTGAATCGTACCTTCAAAATTGTAAATAATGAAATCAAGAAAAGCATAAATAAAATAAACCAAGAAGAAAGAAGCTCACCTCATGGTTAAAATACGTCCGATCAACTTTGGGTACATGTGAATGATACAATCCCAATAGTATCATCGTCCATTCCTCCGTGTTGCTCACGGTCACGAATTGGGCTATAGTCTGTCGTCATTGGGAAATTTCTCTCCGCTTGCATCGGCTGCTAATTTCCTAAAGATGATCGACACCATGAGTTCCACAGCTTGTTTAAGCTTAGTAGCATTCCTCACCATCTTATCGCCTAAAAGTGAACTTGAAACATTGAAATAAGGAGTGCCCTCACCATCTCAGTCTTTGGGCCCAAGTTCACATCCTGGCCCATTAACTTTATTAGAGTCTCGTGAATATCATCTGCCTTTCCGTGGATCCCTTCTTTAATGCGATGGGCACACTCATACATCAATCTTGAGAACAAAATGAGCCCAAACAAAAGACGTTTGTCCTCTTTCGGCTTTTTTTTTTTGGTAGGAATCCTCTTCGGGCTTTAGGAAGAAGTCATCATAGAGCCATGTCAGACGTTGCGGCCATGCCTCAATCCTTGCCACTGATGATGTCATCCTTCAATTCCTCCTAGAATGGAGACGACCGCTGCGAATTAAAGGTTTGAAGAAACGAGTTTTGATACTCCAGGCGGCGAGATGGTTGTAGAGCTGGGCACAGCCTACTGACTATCACATGCAGTAACTCTCTACTTCCCGGCCTAGGTTTAATGCATGTGAGAAGAAGGTGAAGAAGTGCTTCGGTGAGCTCATCGTTATTGGTGGCGCCCAGTACCGCCTTGGCCTCCTGTTTTTCGGCTGGATAAGTTTGTCTTACAGGGCTTACGGAGAAACTCAATGAGGTGTGGGTGTTTTTGGGGCATCCCTCCGGTAGGTAGCATGACCATTATTTCGGCATGCTTTTGTATGGTGGCAGCAGCCTCCACAAGAGCTTCAAATAATTCAAATGAGGGCTCGTCCTTCTTTCTTGGATCCATCTTGAAACTTTCTTGAAAACTAAACAATAGCAGGCTGAAAGAGAATAGGAAGAGTAGTGACTGGAAAACGTTAGTATTTAGTTGGTTTGTCTTTTGTTTCCATCCCTCAATCTTTTGTCTGACTCACTCTCTAAATTAGCTGATATCCTCTTTCCTTGATTAACCATAAATGTCGGGGAGACCTATCTAGGCCAGTACCCCCATTGGAGCACAATGGCTTGAGCAGAAGTCTAGAATAAGCGCAAATCCAATAAGTGAATATCCTACACTACATATACCAGATCTATTGGGCTGGTCTCATCCCTAGTAGTGGCACGCCTACGCAATTCATGATCAGGACAGTAGGATCTAGTCGTTAGGGCCCAGCCCGGACTCACCCGTTCTTGTCAACCTGATTCAACTTTCAATTTTGTTTAGAAGTTGAAATAATCCCCTTGTAGGCCAGAAATTCAATCGGGGCATTGGTGTTGACCCGACGACCTTCCCACTCTCCAGAGCAGCTCGATCCATAGTATAACAAAAAGAGTGCTAGCGGGAAAAGGGACCAACAGGTTCATTTGCTCAATTTAGAAAAGAAGAAGAAGAACATAACGGGTATGGGCACCAGAGATTTAAGTAATATAGAGATGGTCATATGCAACGTGATTGAAAACAAAATGTAAGCTGCAGCCTGCAGTGCAGTGGTGAAGAAGATTTCTAACATTTGGCAAAACAAAGGAGAGCTCGCACATCATTGGATTATTTATTTATTTATTTATTTTCTTTCAAAGTTAGTAGCTGAAAGGTAGAAAGGAGAAGGTAAGAGAGAATGTAGATAACATTCCCCCTTATTTAGTAGGGAGGAGGGGGGGAAGTTTTGGGTTAATAATAATAGATAACAATTATATAAAAAATGCAAATTGGCACACAAAGCAAACTGAAATTCCGAATAGACACAATCTCTGCATTCCAAGAAGCTAGTTAGAAACAAGAGAAGCATCTAAACAAATTTAACTTTCATTCAAACTATTTCACAGTCCCCTTCCAATTAATTATATTAGAACTAATCTTAGCAGAAGTTGCCATCCAAAGCAAAGAGTTCAACAATGCAGAACCTGTAGCCACTGTTGGAGAAGTGAGCATGAAGACCTGAAGATGTCTGAGTCTAGGCAATGGTGGAGGGAGGGCCTTTCTCAAAGTTTCTGGAAGATGAAAGCCTACACTATCGTCCATGCACAAGAAAAAAGAAAGGTGAACTGGTAAGAATTAATGGCAGAAACTGAGAAAGGGATCAAAATATATCAAGCAGTAAGTATGGTACGTATACCTCAGCATCATAAATAATCTCTTAGATTAGGGAAATGCTTCTTGTCCAGAAGTCTGAATGTAGGCCCAGCAATCAAATTTTAAAAGATAAGGAAATTAGATCTGGTGCATTGATTTTGGCCTTCACACCATATTGGTATCCACACATTATGAAGTTACTTAGGAGGAGCTCAGCATAGATATATTTTGTTAAAAATAATCGACTTCATTAATAGTCGGCTGGTAAAATGGTAATAGTTGGCTGTTAGTAGTTGTGGGTTAAAATAATGGTGTGGTAGACGTAGAAGTTAGTTGAATTAACTATGTTTGGTATTAGTTGTGTTTTTTAATGTGTTAGGTCGGTATTATATAAAGTGGTATCAGAGCTTGTCTCAGATCCATATGGCTTCAAACAACAACTTGTTGCAGCCCCAGCTTCCAAATTTTACAGGGAAGCATTATAGTCAATGGAGCATCCAAATGAAGGTGCTGTACGCTGCTCAAGATTTGTGGGAGGTAGTTGAAAATGGCTTTGTGGAGCCAAATAATCAAGGAGACCTCACTCAACAACAACTCACAGAGCTGAAGGAGACACGTAAGAAGGACAAGAAGGCTTTATTCTTTATCTTTCAAGCAGTGGATGAAGCTATTTTTGAAAGAATCTCATCATGCACTACATCAAAACAGGCGTGGGACACCCTCTTTGCATCATATAAAGGAGAAGAAAAAGTGAAGATGGCAAGATTGCAAACTCTAAGAGGTGAGTTTGATATGTTATGCATGAAGGAGTCATAATCTGTTGAAGATTATTTCAATCGTGTCATTTCTCTAGTCAACCAACTGAGAATTAATGGAGAACAAATTGAAGATCAGACAGTTGCTGTAAAAATTCTTCGAAGTATGTCCCGAAAGTTTGAATATATTGTGGTGGCCATTGAAGAATCTAAAGATCTGTCTACTTTGTCTCTTGACAGTTTAATGGGTTCTCTTCAATCCCGTGAGTTACGGCTGAAGCAGTTTGACTCTGGCCCTATTGAGCAAGCTTTCCAATCTCAAGTCTCATTCAGAGGAATTTCTAGAAGAGGAGGAGGCGGCTTTGCTCGTGAAAGAGGAAGAAATAATCAAGGACGTGGCTATGCAAATGACCAGAAAGAAACTAATGCTGAAGGCTCTGCACGAGATTTTGGTTATTCAAGAGGAAGAGGAGATTATAGTTATCCAAGAGGAAGAGGAAGAGAACAAGGTTTCTCCCTTCCCAATATTCAGTGCTACAATTGCAAGCAGTATGACACATGCAAAAACAAAACAAATGGAGGAGCCGAATCAAACATTGTGCATGAAAAAATTCTGAAAGGGAAAATGACGATGTGGTTCTACTTGCATGTGCAGCTGCCAAAGAAGGAAAAGTTCGTGCGGGAAAATGGTATCTTGACAGTGGATGTAGTAATCACATGACAGGCAACAAAAGTGCCTTTGTCAATTTCAAGCATACCAACAATTCTGAAGTAGGGATTGGTGATGGTGGAAAGTTAGTGGCCAAAGGATGTGAAGATATTCTTTTTCTGTCCAAGTCTGGAGAACAAAAAAGAATCTCTAATGTGTTATATGTCCCAGATTTAAATTACAATCTCCTTAGTATGGGTAACTTCTTCGTAAAGGCCATAATATTCATTTCAAGGAAGACCAATGTGTAATTAGAGACAAGTACAACTCTCTAATTGCAAAGGTGCATATGTCAGGGGAAAATATGTTTTCTCTGAACATAAAATATGAATCTTTGGCTGGCTTAAGTGCCCTTATCAAGGATGCCTCATGGTTGTGGCATCTACGCTATGGGCAATTGAGTTTCAGCACACTATCATTGATGGGGAAACAACATATGGTGCGAGGCCTACCAACTATACAACATCAAACACAAGTTTGTGAAGCATGTGTGCTGGGAAAACATCAAAGAAATTCGTTTACTACAGGAAATTCTTGGAGAGCATCTCATCCTCTTGAGTTGGTGCACTCAGATGTATGCGGGCCCATGAATACAACATCAACATGAGGTAACTGCTACTTTCGTACATTCATTGATTATTATAGCAGAAAGATATGGGTCTATTTTCTCAAATATAAATAAGAGGTGTTTGATTACTTTAAAGTTTTCAAAGCTTTGGCTGAGAAGCAAAGTGGATTTGCTTTGAAAACCTTGCAGTCTGATCTGATCAAGGTGGAGAATTCTCATCCAGTGTGTTCGAAAATTTTCTAAAATAAAATGGGATTAAGCATCAGTTTACAGCTCGGTACACCCCACAGCAAAATGGTGTGGCTGAGAGAAAAAATAGGACCATTATGGAATTGGCAAGAAGCAGGTTGAAGGCAAAAGCAATGCTTATTCGTTTTTGGGCAGAAGCAGTGGCATGTGCTGTATACCTCTTGAACTGTGCATCGTCTAATAGTGTGGGAGGCAAGACTCCTCAAGAAGCCTAGAGTGGCCTCAGGCCATGTGTTAGTCACTTAAGGATATTTGGCAGCATTGCTTATTCTCATATTCCTGATGAAACAAGGAGAAAATTGGATGACAAATCAGAAAAGTGCATTCTTGTTGGGTACAGCGAAAAAGGCCAAGGCATATAAGTTGTTTAATCCATTGAGTAACAAGATTATTGTTAGTCGTGATGTCAAGTTCAATGAAGAAGAAGCATGGAATTGGAATGAAGCTGAAAAACAAAGTCCAATACTGTTGGACATTGGCTCTGAAAATCTAGATTCAACTCCACAAACAACTCCATCATCACAAGAATCTTCATAACAAGGGTCATCATCATCTTCTTCTACTGACAACAGTGAGGAAGAAGAAATTTGCATAGGACAAAGGAGATCAACAAGAGCTCATCAACCATCCACAAGGTACCCATCTAGTGATTATGTTTTGGTCACTAATGGTGGCACAAATTTTGCTCTATTTGTAGATGCAGACCCAATTATGTTTGAAGAGGCTTCAAAGGATGAAAAATGGGGTGAAGGCTATGGATCAAGAAATTGATTCCATTAAGAAAAATGACACATGGGAGCTAGTTGATCTTCCTCAAGGAAAGGAGCCCATAGGAGTAAAATGGGTTTATAAGACCAAGCTAAATGCTCAAGGAGAAATACAAAGCTTGCTTGGTAGCTAAAGGCTACAAGCAAAATTATCGAATTGATTACAATGAAGTTTTTGCTCCAGTTGCACGCTTTGACACCATCTGAATGGTGTTAGCTCTTGCTGCCCAAAATCGTTGGAAAGTCTTTCAAATGGACATTAAATCAAAGTTCTTGCAAGGTGTTTTAGAAGAAGAGGTATATGTTACTCAACCTCCAGGTTATGTGTAGGAAAATGAAGAAACAAAAGTGTGTAGATTGAAGAAGGCTTTATATGGATTAAAACAAGCTCCAAGAGCTTCGTATTGTCGAATTGATGCATTCTTCCAAGAGTATGGGTTTCACAAATGCCCATATAAGCATACTCTTATACCAAGAAGAACTCTCAGGGTGAGATTTGATTGTCTGTCTATATGTGGATGACTTAATATTTACTGGAAGTAATGCTCAAATGTGTGATGATTTCAAGATAATTATGTCACAAAGATTTGAAATGACAGACCTTGGTTTGCTTCATTTCTTTCTTGGAATTGAAGTCAATCAAAATGAGACTGGTATCTACACTTCTCAAAAGAAATATGCAAATGAATTGTTGAAAAGGTTCAGGCTTGAAAATGCAAGGTCAATTGCTACTCCAATGGAGCTTGGTGTTAAGATGGTGAATCAAACTTTGTTTGAAGTCTGGTGGGTGGCCTCTTATATTTAACAACAACAAGGCCAGATCTTACATATGCAGTAAGCTTCCTCAGCCGCTTCATGGAATCACCAAAAGATGTTCATTGGGAACTTGGAAAAAGAATCCTAAGATATGTGGTTGGAACTGTCAATTATGGTTGGCATTATTATCCAGTTCAAAATCTAAATCTAACTGGCTACAGTGACAGTGACTTGGGTGGAGATGCTGATACTTGCAAAAGCACATCTGGTTGTCTTTAGCATCGGGTCAAGTGCAATTTCATGGTCCTCCAAAAAAGAATCTATAATGGCACCTTCAACTACAGAATCTGAGTACGTTGCTCTTGCATCATCAGGTTGTCAAGCTAGGTGGGTGAAAAGTATTTTAGAAGGGATGGGTCAAGTTCAAGAAGGCCCTACAAAACTGTTCTGCGACAACAAATCGGCCATATGTCTTACCAAAAATCCAATGTTTCACAGCAAGAGTAAGCATATCAAGATCAAGTTCCATTTTATCAGAGAGCTAATCAAAGACAAACAAGTTGAGGTTCTATATTGCAAATCCCAAGACCAGCTGGTAGATTTGTACACCAAACCATTGAAGAAGGACCTGCTCGTCAAGATGATGAAATTAATTGGCTTAAATGAAGTCTAGCTTAAGGGGGGATGTTAAAAATAATCTAGACTTCATTAATAGTAGGCTGGTAAAATAGTAATAGTTGGCTGTTAGTAGTTGTGGGTTCAAACAATGGTGTGGTAGAAGTTAGCTGAATTAACTATGTTTGGTATTAGTTGTGTTTTTTAATGTGTTAGGTCGTTAGTGGCTATTATATAAAGCCACCCTTTTCTCTTCATTTTGTATCAAGCAGGGAACATCATCAATATCTAAAATAGTGTCCCACTACTTTCTGTCTTTTGATTATCACAAGAGAACAAGTTTATTCTCTTACCTGTTGTTACTCCCACATAACCGTACCCACCACCAATAATATCATTCCTATATCCCATCATATTTCAGGTTGCGGGATTCATACGAGATAATACTCTTCTGGCACCTATTTTCTCTACGGTAAGTAAAGATTGCTGGTACTTGTTCATGTCACATACTCCAAATTTAAGCTAGTTACAGATTTTTCATTTTTTTTTAAAAGGGTCTCCAAGGCTAAGGAGTAGTAGTCTAACAAAACTTTAATTAGTAAGGTTCATATTGAACTCTTCGACGCTACTCTCAACTGCAAAATCCCACCATTTATTGACTCTAGTTTCATAGACTTTAGTGTAGCTTATGTGATGCGTGAGTTTATCTAAGTCGACCTTGTCTTCCTTCCAAATTCCAAACACCTTTCCACCAAGTTGATGAACTTTGAACTGGGGGTAATCATCAAGGCTGTCTTGCACGCCCTCGTCAAAATCTAATACAGGGACCGAAGGCCACACGTCTACCCATTGGAAAGAAAACTCATGCGCACGGCAGCTCTAGTTGGAAGGAGTTGGACGATTTGGTGAATAACAAGGTCAAATAAGTGATGCCACTGGCACTGCCCTATTTTTTCCATGGCTATGGCGTTTTGGTCATTTCGATCTTCCTTTATTTCATCACGTATTGCTTTCTTAGTTTTTTATTTTTCACTGGGCAGGATTATAAGATGCTGGGATGCTAAACTGGGGCATGAAATCTACAGGATTACAGTTGGACTCGGAGGTTAAGGTAGAATTGAGCTGTGACGTTATTATTTTCTGTAGCTTATGAAATTGATTTTTCAGTCGGTCTGCATCCATTGGAGTTTAGCTCCTGAACTACCTTTTCTAAAAATCAACTTGTTTCTTTTTTCCAGGTGTGGGAACCTTGTAAGTGCAGACAGTACTGGCAGTGTTCAGTTTTGGGACAACTACTTCAGAAACTACCATTTGCCCATTCCATGTGTTTGTACAAATTTCCTCACGAGAATATTCGCCTAAGATTCCTTCGTCTTCTCCACTTCTCTTTCTCCCTGCAAAACAGATCGGGGTAAAAGGACCACACCCAGGGGGTGTTGGCCAAAGGCCCTCCGATGCCTAAGTTAGGTAGGGTATTTCAAGGAAAACCGGGTGGCCGGAGCCGTGTGTGGTGGCCGGAGCCTTGTGTAAGAGAGAGAAAAAAAGTGGTGGCTAGGGTTTGTGAGAAATAATTTCTGCAGAGTTTCAGTAAGAATTTAGACGTACCTTGACCTTTGTGCGTAGCCAAGTATTATAATGGTCTCGGAGATTAGGGTTTCAGAGGAATAATTGCATAGATGGAAGGGAATTATTCCTCCCCTATTTGGAATTGATTTGATTAATTAGGGATTTGATTTATTAGGGTAAATCAAATCCTTAATCGTGGTAGGTATCAGATTAAATCCTAATTTAATTAGGTAGCTCCTCATTTAATTGGGAATTGAAGTAGGAATCAAATCAATTCCCAACTTAATTAGGTAATTCTCAATTTAATTGGGTAACTCCCAATTAAATTGAGTAACTCCCAATTAGGTTGAGTAATTCCCAATTAGGTCAAATAATCCCCAAATGGAAGGAATTATTTGACCTAGGGTATGATTTAATTCGGTTCCCACACCATGGTTTTTAGTTTTGATTCTTCTCGCTTGATGATAGCGGTCCTATTTTTGTTGCTCTCTTTTATCTATTGTTTCATTATTTTATTTCATCCCCCCTTGCATTTTTTGGATACTCCTTAATTGAAGAAAAACTTTTCGGGGTTTGACTATAAAAGGCTCATTTGCTTGGTGACCGACCAGTGTGAATTTTAGAAGGTTCCACATGCATTTTTCAGCCCTGAATTTGGCAATAAATTTGTAGGTACACTTACTTTCTCACTCATACATGCATTTTTAGCAGCAGTCAGATGAATCCAGCCCGATGAGCAACTTCCAATGCTCAAATGAAGTTCTTTCCTCATAAAAGTTGTTCATTTAGATGTTTCCTACAATATATCCTAAATTTACAGCATTTGGATACGTACTGACTCTTCAGGGCATGAAATACTAAAACATGTTTTCCAGTCCAATATGCCGAACTTCCAATCCGATGAGCAGTTTTCAATGCTCAAATGAATTTCCATTCTTCATAAAAGTGGTTCAAATGCGTGACTATATTTTGTCCAAATGTGGCGTCATTTGGATAAGAGTAGAATACTCAGCGAATTAAACAATGAAGTCTACTCGAAGGAACTGTCTCTGACAACCAGTCAGTTCGAGCCATGCCAAATTGTATTTTCCAGTCTCAAATAGATTTGAGTTCTTCCCAAACATTGTTCCTCTACATGTATAGAACAACATATTAAAATTTAGTAGAATTTGGATAAGTATAGCATGCTCGAATCATCACACATCAAAGCAGGATCAAAGAAGAAGCTAGGGGGGCATGCTGGCCAACCTTTGTTAAGTTAGAGCACCTCCAGCGCATGGACCAGCCTGGGGGAAAGGCTGCCAGAGGGAGCCCGAGGCAGCTCCAGCGCAGGGCCCGTAGCCGGTTTGGTGGTGGGTCCCACGAGCCCGAGCAAGCCCAAGGGCAACTTCTGCCTGGGCTGAAGCCCGAGTTTTGTGACGTCAGCGCTGGCATCACGCTGACATCAGCGCACAGTAAAAATTTTTTTTTTTTTTTTTTTTTTTTTTGCCAAAAAATTCGAAAAAAATTCGAAAAAAATTCTGAAAAATTCTGAATTTTTTTTTAATACCAAAAAATTATGTATTTTTTCCCTATAAATACCTAACCATTTTATTCACTTTCTACACCAAATCTTCATAAAAACTCATCTCCTTCCAATATTTTTCACTTTCCACATCAAAATCTTGGCAATGAGGAATAAAAAAAAAAAAAAAAAATTTTATTCAATTTAATGTCTTTTTTATATATATATTTCTTGCATTTCCAATTTCTTTTTTTTTAATAGATTAGTCAAGGCAAAACCAAAAATGTTATTCGAAAAATTTTATCCAAAAATTTTATTTGAAAATTTTATTCGAAAAATGTTATCTTAAATTTTAAATGAAAATTTTATAATAAATAGTGACACGTGACAACCGAAAATATAATCTAAAAAGCTTATCAAAATTAATAGTTTAAAGTATAAACAAATAGGAAATAAAGTACAATGAATAGTAATTGCCTTAGACTTGCCCTAGACTTTGCCCTCATGGGTGGAACCACAAATGCAAAGGCTGACACTATTCACGTGAATAGTGGCAGCCCTTGCTTGCCCTTGCCTTAGACTTAGCCCTTGTGGGTGGAGATGCTCTTAATGGAGGTGCATGAGTCAGCATGGAGGCCTGAGCTTATTAAAAAAATGAAAGATAAAATAAGCTTGCTGATAGAGGGAAACAAGTTTTGCTTGGAAGATATTTTGAATTACCTGGGGAACAACACCAAAGCAACTTTTCTAATTTTGCTTGCTTTTTCAGCAACCCACCCACCAAAATCAATGGCAAGTGGGTACTTCTCAATGGTTATTGGGCCCAACACTCAACCCACATCATTTGCTCTATAAATAAAGTCTGAATAGAGAAATTTTCAGGCTATGTTTTTTACTTTTATTCCATTGTTTACATGAATAGAGAAATCTTCATATGAACATCCATAATTTTCATTACTGTCATTTACTTTTCAAGTCTATAGCTACAATGAACTAAGTAGACAAATCCTCAGTTTAGGGTAGCTATCTTGTCATTTACTTTGAGTTTGCATTAATAATGAACTTAATCGAGAAATCTTTAGTTTCATATCATGTTTCTCATTTTGTTTTTGTTTTTGTTTTTTACTTTCTTCTTGTTCTTATCTTTGCACTAGAAAAATATTGAAATCCGCTTCATTGAGGCATATAAAAGAACCTATATCAGGTCAGTTCCCCACCCAACTCACTATATCGATTGATTAGAGTCGATATTGCAGTGCATTTTACATTTTTCAATCACTTTCTGTTGGAGCTTTCGGTGCCAACAGTGGCACGCCTACACAAACAACATGGAATCAATCCCAAGGCCAACACCAGGCCTCTGCGGATGAATTTCCGAGGTAGAACAAACAGGGACATTAAAGGATAGAGGAAAAACAGAAACACGAGATATGAATGAAGCCATACATGCATAATATTGTTCAACTTAATTGAGCAAGGCAAGCATTTTTTTTTTCTTTTTAATGTGAAATTACAAGGACAAATATTAACACAAATATTGCCATTACGATGGAAAAAATAGTACAAAGATTGCACTGAAGACTCTTGTTTATCTTCAAGCACCTTCGAACATCTTCACCAATTACTTCAAGTTTGGTAGACATATCGTTAAATATTGAAAATAATAATTTCTCACGATCCTGCATCATCCTATTGTATTTATCTCAGCTCCATTTACCCACTCACTAAACTGTCCACACTTAGTGCATGCCCAATAAGAATGATTGTAATTGTCGGCTGTGTTGAAATGTAATCCTTCAGCTGCTTTCTTATAGCCGAAGTCACCAAGCATTATTCCTTATTCCTTACGTCTATTTTATATGTGATGTAATTAAAAGCATTGGATCATAGTCCAGATGGATTCTCTAGCTTAGATTTGGTATGACAAGTGTAAGCACCTCATAGGGTGACAGCTGTAATTCGGTTAGAGAAGAATCACTCTTCTCTCTCAGCTACCGAGCACACTATGTAAGCCAACTGTTTGTGAAAATGCAATAGAACAGTCTCCTCTCATCTTTTTCCTCTCCTTCTCTTGCAAAATCTTCAGATTACAAAACCTTCATAACCTAAAATAAAAAACAACCATAGAATTCTAACATGGCCTCAGAGCCAGGTTTGGTTGGTTGCTGGGCATGAATCTGTGAAAATCGAAAGCTAGTAGTTGGTTGAGCTGAAATCGAGCTCACTCAAAATTCCAAGAAGCGTATTTGTTTGAATCCAATGTCTAACATGGCAGGATCAAGCACTGCTGAGCTTCGCATGCCAGTTTTCAATGGCGAAAACTATGAGTTTTGGAGCATCCGAATGAAAACCATTTTGAAATCTCATGGGTTGTGGGATTTGGTTGAAAATGGTTTTGATGCTTCAAATCCAAAGAAGGGAAAGGGAAAAGAAGAAGGATCTATGGCTGCTGAAGTGGAGAAGTCTACAATGGCTGAGATTTTGATGAAGGATGCTCGTGCACTTGGAATGATCCAAAGTGCAGTCTCAGACCAAATCTCCCCCATAATAGTGAATGAAGAAACCTCAAAGGATGCGTGGGATATTATAAAGCAGGAGTTTAGAGGCGATAAACAGGTACGAAGTGTTAAGTTGCAAGGTTTACGTAGAGAGTTTGAATATACTCAAATGAAGGATAGTGAACCATTGTCTGCTTACATTGCTAAACTGTTTGATTTAATTAATCAAATGAAAAGTTATGGTGAAGAATTGCCTAGAGAAAGAATTGTGCAGAAATTGCTAATTAGTTTGCCTAAATCGTATGATTCTATATGCTCTGTGATTGAGCACTCCAAGGACCTTGACACCCTTGAAATTCAAGAAGTGGTTGCTTCTCTGAACAGATGGTGGTTGATGAACAACCTCAACCCTTGGATACTTAAATGCAAGTAGAAGACGATACTGTACCTCAAGATGAGGAAATACTTGACAGGTCTCAAGTGTTCGATCACACACCTCACAAGTGGAGGAGTATTAATGACATCATGGCACAATGTAATATGTGCATTATGGAACCTGATAGTTTTGAAGAAGCTGATTTGGATGAATCATGGAGACATGCAATGAAGGCTGAATTAGAGATGATTGAGAAAAACAATACATGGGATTTAGTTGACAGACCATTTGAAAAACCAGTAATTGGTGTCAAATGGGTCTACAAGGTCAAACTCAATCTAGATGGCACTGTGCAGAAGAATAAAGCTAGACTGGTGGCTAAAGGCTACTCACAAAAGCCCGGGATGGATTACAATGAGACATTTGCCCCGGTGGCAAGGCTAGATACCATCAGAACTTTGATTGCCCTTACTGCACAAAAGGAATGGAGTTTGTATCAACTGGATGTGAAGTCTGCCTTTCTCAATGGCATCCTAAAGGAGGAAGTCTATGTTGAACAGCCACAAGGTTATATCCAAGAGAATGAAGAGACCAAAGTGTACAAGTTAAACAAGGCTCTATATGGACTGAAACAAGCCCCAAGGCCTGGTATGATGAGATAGATGCCTACTTCAACAATGCCGGATTCAAAAAGAGTTCTAATGAAGCTACTCTCTATGTCAAAACAAATGACACTTTAGGTATTATCATTGTCTCACTTTATGTAGATGACATTATATATATTGGTAGTTGTTCTAAATTACTTGAAGAGTTTAAGCAAGATATGATGCAACACTATGAGATGATAGACTTGGGATTGTTGCACCATTTTCTTGGCAAGGGAGTGGTACAAACTGATAGGCACATCTTTATTCACCAAAAGAAATATGCTATGAAACTACTTGAGAAGTTTGGAATGAGAGACTGCAAGTCAGTGGCAATTCCACTTGTGGTGAATGAGAAATTGTGCAAAGAAGATGGAAGTGAAGCAGCAAATGAAAATGAATTCAGACAGATAGTAGGGAGCTTGCTTTATTTAACTGCCACAAGACCAGATGTAATGTTTGCATCTAGCTTACTTGCTAGGTTCATGCACAATCCCACAAAGAAACACATGGGAACTGCCAAAATAGTTTTAAGATATATACAAGGCACACTTGATTTCGACATTGAGTTTGTGGAAGGGAAAACAACTACTCTAATAGGGTATTGTGACAGTGATTGGGCTGGGAATGAGGATGATATGCAAAGCACCTCAGGATATGCTTTCACACTAGGCTCAGGCATGTTTTCTTGGGCTTCTATCAAGCAAAACACAGTTGCTTTGTCCACAGCAGAAGCTAAATACGTGAGTGCTGCAGAAGCAACTTCACAAGCTAAGTGGCTAAGATTTGTGCTTGAGGATTTCCGTGAAGAACAAGTAGAAGGAACACCAATCCTATGTGACAAGGAACCCAGTTCATCACCAGAAAACAAGGCATATCAGTCGGAAATTTCATTTCATAAGGGAAGCCATTCAAGCAAAAGAAATTAAGCTAATCTACTGCAAGACAGAAGATCAAATAGCAGACATTTTGACCAAGGCTCTGCCTAAGGATCGTTTTGTTAGTTTAAGAAGCCTACTTGGTGTGAAATCAGCTAAAGGATTAAAAGGGAGTGTTGAAATGTAATCCTTCAGCTGCTTTCTTATAGCTGAAGTCACCAAGCATTATTCCTCATTCCTTACGTCTATTTTATATGTGATGTAATTAGAACCATTAGATCATAGTCCAGATGGATTCACTAGCTTAGATTTGGTATGACAAGTGTAAGCACCTCATAGGGTGACAGCTGTAATTCGGTTAGAGAAGAATCACTCTTCTCTCTCAGCTACCGAGCACACTATGTAAGCCAACTGTTTGTGAAAATGCAATAGAACAGTCTCCTCTCATCTTTTTCCTCTCCTTCTCTTGCAAAATTTTAGATTACAAAGCCTTCATAACCTAAAATACAAAACAACCATAGAATTCTAACAGGCTGATCTGGATATTCTATATTTCAAACCAACACCATCACATTTTTTCCTACAATGTTAGCATATATCAAATGTCACTACTGCTGCTGATGCTCAACATTCTGTATGTCAAATTTCATGCTCATGATCATCCTCAAAACAAAGGATATTACTCATAAGAACAAGTTGCAACTATTAAGAGAAACGAAGAACAGAAAAATTCAGAAAAATAGAAGCCAAATGAAACAATATGAACAAATAGGGCACAATACTTGTTAACAGGTTCTAAACTGTGCTAGAATAGATGAGCAAAGTGTCAAATATAAGGATATATGGTAAATTTCTGAGATATATTTCTTCTCTCAAGGGAGGTGTATATATAGTGTACAATGCCTTCTTACCCAAGGAAAAGATAAAAACTAATCCTAATAGAACAAATAATACAAGAATCCTTATATTAATTTCCTATCTAAAATACGACTCAAGCCAACACTCCCCCACAAGTTGGTACATAGATGTCACCAATGCCTAACTTGTTAAGTGAGTCACTATATACTTGGCTAGACATTGCTTTAGTCAAAACATCTGCGACGTTGTTCATTTGATTTCACATATGGCACACTAATCACATTGCTTTCCAATTTTTCATTAACAAAATGTCCGTCAATCTCCACATGTTTAGTACGATCATGTTGGACTGGATTATTAGCTATGTCAATTGCAACTTGATTATCTCAATACAATTTCATGGCATCTTTAGCCATGAAGCCCAATTCCTTCAATAATTTCCGAATCCACAACATCTCACATATGCCACGAACCATACTTCGATACTCAGCTTTCGCATTGGACAAAGAACAAACCTTTTGCTTCTTGCATCGCCAAGTAACAAGGTTACCACCCACAAATGTAAAATAACTTGATGTTGAACGCCTATTAGTTCAATTTCCTGCCCAATCGGCATCTGTAAAACCTTCAATTTCTAAATGTCCATGTTTTGAGAACATCAACCCTTTGCTAGGTGTGGAGTTCAGATACTGTAAAATTCGCATAACTGCTTCCATATGAACTTCACTAGGAGAATGTATAAATTGACTCACAACACTAATAGCATAAGCAATATCTGGCCTGGTGTGAGATAAATAAATAAGTCTTCCAACTAACCTATGGTACCTGTATTTATTAGTTGGAACTTGATCTGGAAGAATCTCAAGATTATGGTTCTGCACAATAGGAGTATTAGCAGGTTTACACCCAAGCATCCCAATTTCATTTAATAAATTTACACATATTTTCTCTGTGACAAGAAAATACCATGTTGAGATCTAGTCACTTCAATTCCTAAAAAATATTTCAGCCCTCCAAGATCCTTCATCTCAAACTCAGTTGATAAATAATGTTTTCATTTATCAATCCCTTCTGTATCATCACCTGTTATTATCATATCATCAACATATATAATTAAAACAGTGACCTTTCCTTTCCTCCACTTTAGAAACAAAGTATGATCTGCATTGCTTTGACAACAACCATATTTCTTCATGGCACAACTGAATTTTCCAAACCAAGCTCTAGGAGATTGCTTCAACCCATAGAGTGACTTCCTCAACTTGCACACAAAATTTGGATTTTCCGATACATCAAATCCTAGAGGTAGGGTCATATAAACTTCTTCCTTCAATTCTCCATGTAGGAAAGCATTTTTCACATCAAATTGTTAATGTGGTCAATCTAAATTTGCTGCAAGTGATCTTAGAACACGAATTGTGTTTAGTTTTGCAACTGGTGCCAAAGTTTCTTGATAATCAACACCATATGTCTAAGTATATCCTTTGGCAACCAATCTCACCTTGTATCTATCAATGGTACCATCTACCTTGTGTTTAATTGTAAAAATCTATCTGCATCCAACTGGTCATTTTCCTTGTGGCAATGAAACTAAATCCCAAGTTTGATTTTTTTTTCAAAGCCAGCATCTCTTCACCCGTAGCTTTCTTCCATTGAGGAGCAGCCAAAGCATCTTGCACTTTAGATGGAATAAATTCAGCAGTCATCTGATTAGCAAAAACTGCACATGCTTCAGATAATCGATGAGTAGAGACATAGTTTGCAATTGGATAGTTCGACTTCTTTGAATTTTCAGGTGAAAAACGATTCAGTGGAATTACTCTATTACGTATGGGAGGCAATTGATACCTTTTTTCTGCAACACTATCAATATCATTTGTAATTAAATTGTCCGTATTAATCAAAGTTTTCGTACTTACCTCAGGATTATCCGAAGCCTCAGGAATTTGGACAAGTACTGTTGGTGCAAAAGAGGGAGAATAATTATGTGGGATATGTGGAGTTGCAGGTTACAAAGTGGGGTTAGCAACAGGTGGCACCAGGTCCTCAACTGACGTTACTGTGTTCTCTTTTTCATTGCAGATCACTTCTTCTCTTTCTATGGTAATATCAGGTAATATAATTGTCCAATTCCAATTCTGCTCTTCGATATTCTCCTTCTCCCCCTGAAGAGGAGAGTTGGATTCATGATGAAGAAAATACATGGACAACTCTGAGAAAGTGACATCCATTGCGACATACATACTCTTTGTTGGAGGATGGTAGCATCGATATCCTTTGGAATATGAGGAGAAACCCACAAACACACATTTAAGAGCACATGGATCCAATTTAGATTGGAGGTGTTTAAGGATGTGAACGTAGGCTATACAACCAAAAATGCGGGGATGGAGAGTCATGACTGACGGTAGGGGATGTGTCGAAGTCAAAACATCCAGTGGTGTCTTGTATCCATGGATAGAAGAGGGCATACGATTTAATAAATACACTGCATATACTATAGCATCACTCCAAAACATCTTAGGCATATGTGCTTCTATGAAAATACTCCTAGCCGTCTCAAGAATATGGTGATTTTTCCGTTTAGTAACCCCTTTTTGTTGAAGGGTATAGGGACATGTGGTTTTATGGAGAAGACCGTTATCTTAAAAGAAAGACACAAAATCATGATTCACATATTCACCTTCCATTATCCGATCGCAAAAACTGGATTTTTGTGGAGAATTGTGTCTGAACCATCTGATAGAATTGCTTGAAGAGACCAAAAACCTTACTCTTATGTTTCATAAAATATATCCATGTCATTCTCGTATAATCATCAACAAAAGTCACAAACCATCTAATGCCAGAGATTGTAGATACCGGGGAAGGACCCCATACATCAGAATGAATAAAAGCAAAAGGTTTAGCATTCTTATTGAAACTAATAAGGTATGAAACACGGTGACTCTTGGCAAGAATATAAGTTTCACACTCAAGACTGTAAATATCCATATCCAAATATAAAGTTGGAAATAAATATTTTAAAAAACCAAAAGAAGCATGTCCTAAACACCAATGCTGTAACCAAATTTATTTATTCTTGTCTACAGCTGAGTCATGAGCAATAAGAGCCTCCCCCGTGCAAACATCATCCACATAATATAGTCCCCATCTCTTAGTACCATGCCCAATTATTTCCTGGGTTCGAATATCCTGAAGAAGGCAAAGCAAGGGATAGATTAATACAAAACAATCTAATTGTTCAGTCACTTGTCTGACAGATAATAAATTCTGAGATAAAGAAGGAACAAGAAGAACATGTTCCAATGTTAAATTTGGAGAAAGATTAACAGTGCCTACCCCAGTCACAGGGTAGGATTGGCCATTCGCATTCGCCATACTAGTAAGACTAGGAGTAGTACGAGTCTTCAAATTTGTGGGGTCAAATGTCATGTGATTTGAAGCACCTGAATCAATAATCCAACCAGAACCAATACCTAAGCCAGCAAAAGCACTACTTAAGGTATCAAAAGAAGTGACCGAATCACCTGTAGGGAGAGCGGCAAAACCTGGAGGAACAATGGAGGAAGAGACAGATGGCATAGGGGAAGCTTGTGGGACATAAGGGTTGGGAGATCCTATGCAGAGTGCGACCTTGCCTTGTGTGTATCGTTCAGCTGCTGCTTTGGCCTTGTTACACTCCTTGACTTCTTCCCACCATTTTGGATAGCCATGTAATTTAAAGCAATCAGTTACAAAGTGATTTGTGCTGTTGCAATGACTACACCTTCCGCCATTCTAAGGTTTAACTCGTTGTAGACCACTAGGTCTTCTAGAACATGTAGGTCCATTAGTTGTAGAACCTTCAGGTTTGTAGGAAGAGGCAGGCATAGAGTGCCTTGTAAGTCCATTAATTGTAGAATTGTCAGGTTTGTAGGAAGAGGCAGGCCTGGAGTTCCTTGCTACCATAGTAACTCCAGTGTTCACTAGGGTTGGTGGCACCATCATGGTAGATAGCTGCTGGTCTTCTTGTCTGACACATGAAAATCCAAATTCAGAAACGGATTCATGCAAAGAATATTGCTACGAGCTCTGTCAAACACATCATGTAATCCAGCTAAAAATACATAAACCCTCTCGATCTCAATCTCCTGTTGACGAAGCAAAATATCTGCTGAATTAGTAAATTTATTTGGTCATCGATAATCAATCTTGTGCCAAATACTTTGCAATTCTACATAGTATGTGACAAGTTGTCGCCCAGACTGTTTCGCCTTGAATGCCCGACTAGTTAACTCATAAATTTGTGACTGATCTTGGCTGTCTTTTTTTTTTTTTTTTTTTTTTTTTTTTTTTTTTTTCCCACACACTTCGGTAGTTTTGTAGGGAAGGAAAATTTGCATAATATTAGGCTCCATAGATCGAATCAACCATCCCTTCACAACTGCATTTTTAGCATACCACTTATTGTAATTAGAGGCTGCCAGAGCTGGTACAGCAGAAGCACCTGTCAGATACCTGTGCAACAGAAGCGCCTATCAGATACCCATATTTTCCCTTCCCAGCAACATGTAGCTCAAGCAGTTGGGACCATACTGAATAATTTGTTCCATTTTTGACAATTGTAGGAGTAGCGGAAGAATCATGATGAACATTGACAATTGACATAGGTTGACCAGAACCCTTTGAGGTAACTTGTGGTAGCTCATTGGATTGTTCATCTTCATCAAACAAATCCTGCATATCCCCTATGGACACAAAGAACACTGCAAGGAATTAAAACAAAATAATAGGCAAAAAAGAGAAAGTCTATAGCAGTAAGGGGGTTCGGCTAATACAAAAGAAGGTATATGGTAAATTAAAACAAAATAACCTGGCTTTGATACCAAATCAAATACAAGGATATATGGTAAATTTTTGAGATATATTTCTTCTCTCAAAGAAGGTGTATTATAGTGTACAATGCCTTCTTACCCAAGGAAAAGATAAAAACTAATCCTAACAGAACAGCTAATACAATATTTACAAGAATCCTTATATTAATTTCCTACCTAAAATAGGACTCACGCCAACACAATGTCAATGACACAAACCATAGTAGAATGATGGTGTCAATAGTATACGGTTTTAATAAGACATAAAGGGTGAATAGCTTGCTGATAATTGAGTAGACTTATGCTCTTGTAAATAAAGAACTTTTCCAACTTAGGGAAGTATGAGTTCTTGAAGTAACTCCTAAGGTAACAATAGTTGAACCTTAAACTCTTCCGGCTTACATTCAGATTTTGACGGATTAATTGACTTTGGTGCCACTAATCATATGACCTTTGATTCTCGAAATTTACGTATCGTACCTCTCCTCACTTGAGCAGTGTGGCCAATGCTAATAGTGACTCAAGTCTTCTTACAGGCGCACGAACAATGGAATTAACTCCTTCTCTCTCCAATAACCTCTTGTATGTTGGACAAGTCACTGACCAACTTAATTGTTTTGTACTAATGTACCTGTTTTTCTGTCTTCTTCAGGATATTCTCACGAATGAGATCATTGGCCGTGCTACTAAGAGAGAGGGATTGTATTATGTTGATGATATTTGTCAAGTTCGAGTTCATCTTACCAAAGGTTTTGTCAAAGATTGTCGACAACGCATTCTACTGTGGCATTAAGAGCGATCAACATGAGCATGAGCATAAGAGCGAATAAATAAACGAAAACAAAAAACTATGGCAAAGAACAATTGGGTGATTTGTAGCAACCGCCATCAAATACGATGTGGAACCAAATTCAGAGAACATGAGTAATGCTAGAGAGCAAGTTTTGGGAGAATGATTTGACTGAGAACATAGCCCAAAAGGGGTGAAGGGGAACTTAAATCTAAGCATGGCCCAGAAGAGATCACCACAAGGGAATTCTTATCCAAAATGCCCAGTGAACTTATTTACAAACCCAGCAGGAAGAGATGAGGGGGAGGTGGGACAATGATGCTTCTTCCTCCTCCTCCTCTATTGAGTTTTTCCTTAGGATTTACACAGTGAGAGAGCGGCTAGGTCAAAACTTCTCTCTCCACATAGCCTATGAAATTACTTCTCTTAATTTGACCAATATATATTAGTAATATTTATTAAATTAATTAAATAATTTATTTATCACATAAGTCACTTCATGTTGGCCATACATAATATTTATGAAATATTCTTACAAACTTGTCATCTAATATTAAAATACCATTGCAACGTTTATCTCCGCCGCAAATACATAGGTCACGCATTGCAAATATTCTTACAAACTTGACATGGGTCACTTCATGTGGGCCACAATACATAAAATATTCTTACAAACTTGTCATCTAATATTAAAATACCATTGCAACGTTTATTTCCGCACTAAAGACAAGATTTAAGATTGAATTTTAATGGAACTTCTTGTGGTTTAGGCACAGGAAGGTGGCCCTTCTCCTGCAAGCTCTTGACAGTTTCATATAGGCACTGTTTCACTGGAGTGAACTCCACGCCCAAGTCTTGTAGCTTCTGGGTTGTCAACTTGTATGGTTTTACTCTTGGTTTGACTTCATCCGAGCACCTGTAAATATATGACATACTAATTAATTTAATCCCACAAAATTAAAAACAAGTGTACTTTCAAAAATAAAAATATATGTGTATTGCATTAAAATAGTTTGAAGATAAAAATCCATAAAAAAATATGCTTGCACCATTTAAAATCTATAAGTAAACCAATGATTAGCCAAAAATTTCTTTATTCTATAAAAAAAATTACGTAATGGACCATAAGCAAACACTAAATCAATCACTACGAGAGTTGGCTACGTACGCATGAACAAACATATTTTTCATTTCACTTATACCAAAATAGGGATACCATCACTGTCCCCCGCCCTCATCCCCATCTTGGTTGTTAACATGTAGTTCAGAAAATATCTTATTTAGACAAGAAATAAAGAAGAAGAAAAAAATTGATGAGGATGATGATGTACTTACTTGGTGGGAATTGGGTATTCTGGGAACAACTTGGCTAGGATTTCCACCACGTCTCCACGGTGAAGCACACTCTCTCCACAAAGGTACCTTCCCGAGGCAGATGGAGTTTCATACACCATAATGTGGGCCAGAGCCACGTCCCTAACATGCACATAGGCCTGCACAGAATTGGCATAAGTCTTGGCTGAGCCTGTGAGGTACTTGAGGATGTGGATAATGCTGGCGTTGACGGTTGGTTGGAGAAGTGGTCCGAGTACCAAAACTGGGTTCACCACCACCAAATCCACCCCTTTCTCCTTGGCCTCTTCCCAAGCTGTCTGCTCTGCCACTGTTTTCGCATAGCAGTACCAGTTCTGCATATGTATTATTTTGTATTTGTCAAATTCATTATCACTTTAAGCATCATAATCATCATCATGGTTACCTTAAGCCTTAAAGCATATTGTATGTATGACCATTATTTTCAAGGGACATTTTGGAAAAAGCAAAGGAGAGAGAAAATTTTTAAAAGAAGCAAAAATGGACAAAAATGCCCTTATTTATTTTAGATTTCCTAAGGAATCCAATACATTTGCATGTCTTTGATTTGAAAGTTTATCGGTTTTTTTGTCTTTTTTGAAAAAGCTTTGGCTTTTTCCAAAAGTGAAATTTTTTTATGTCTAAAACCTAAAAAACCTTATTTTTTTCAATTGTATTAATCTAATCCATTTTATTTGTTTCATCTAGCTCTATCAAGAGGATAACTATGAAATGGCCACAATATGTTTTAAAAGAGCTGGTGATACTTATTGGGAAAGAAGGTCGAAATCTGCTGGCCTTGACCATAACGGCACTTCAAATCCTGAAAAGGCTAATGCTCTCCTCAAGAAAGCTGGAGAAATTTTTGAATCTTTGGGGAAGGCAGATTCTGCTACTTGGACTAGGCATCGGATAGTGAGACCAAGGTTGGTCAAGCTTTCACAACAAGTGGAGCTAGTTCTAAGAGGCAGAAAGACAAAGTTTGGTTATGGCATCAACGTCTTGGGCATGCCTTATTCGGTTTTATGAAGAAGTTGTTTCTATCATTATTTTTCAGTTTGGATGTTTCCAGCTTCCAGTGTGATACGTGTGAATTGGCTAAGAGTCATCGTGTTCCGTTCCCATTAAGTACAAATACAAGTTTGGTTCCCTTCTCTCTTATTCATTCTAATGTTTGGGGCCCTGCTCAAATAGCTACTTTGGCTAGAGCTCGATGGTTTGTACTTTCACTGATGACTGCACCTGAATGACCTGGGTTTCCCTTAACAAAACCAAAGGGAAAGTCAGTTTAACGTTTGAACAGTTCCATACAAGTTCTCAATTCTGACAATGCCGGAGAATTTCTTAATCATGATCTCAAAAAATTCTTACAAGATCTTGGCTTCATACATCAATACTCGTGTCCATATACTTCCCAACCAAATAGGGTGGCTGAGAGAAATAATTGACATTTATTGGAAGTCGTTCGTGTATCTTTATTTAGTGCCAACATGCCTAAATATATTTGAGGCCAGGTTGTCCTCTCTATAGCTTACCTTATAAATAGGATTCCCTCAAGTATTTTGAATTTCCAAACTCCTCTTCAAACAATTCACCACCATCTCCAAATACTTCCCACCCCAAACCTTGAACCATGGATTTTCGGTTGTGTTGTATTCGTGCACTTACATGATCACCAACGCAACAAATTGGAAACTCGCGTAGAAAAGTGCTTTTTCCATTGGCTATGCCCCTCATCAAAAAGGCTACTGATGTTATCACTCTCCAAGTCAGAAGGTATATACCTCCATGGATGTAGTGTTCCAAGAACAAGACATATTTTTCAGAAGCATAGGAGAAGAATCTATAGTGAAACACCTCAAATATTCTAGATTTTTTTACAACAGAAGAGATTTAGCATCAAAGTGACAATCGCCCCTCCAAAATGACCGGTCGCCCCTCTTATTCCTTATAGGCAGAGCCACTGTGTCAAAATGACAGGTTGTTTTGTCATCTTTTGCAAAACATTGAGCCTATGTTGACAGTGGAAAATGACTAGTCAATTCCACGCTACCAAAATTAGGAGAAGGAAGTTGAACTATTTTATGAGATTTTGCCCGCTCTGGACCCACCTTCTGCTCTAGTACCATGCCAATCACCTTATGAGGAAGTTATTCAGGTAACATCTCCCCCTGAATCTAATAACACTAATGTGAATTTGTTGCTCCCAACCTTGTCAATAGGTCCCATGAATGGTGATGTTCCCTCGTAACAGGACAGCCATAGAAACCTGTGAAGCGTCATCTTCCCTGCACCCGTAAAACTTCCACCTCTATATCGATGTGGTTATTGCTGGCAGACCTTAAAGAGACAGCTAACTCATTTGTCCACTGTAAATAAAGGCCCCTAGAGGCTCCATTACTTTCGACCACAATACATTGATGAAAGCACAATTTGAGTCGAACCAATTCCATAATGTTTCTAGAACAACGTGTTTCACAAAGAAACACAATTGTGGGGTCCTCATTACAGACAAGACATCGTAATGCTTCAACTGTCCAAGGGTTCCTAAGGTCTTGGTAGTTCCAACTTAGAAGATTCATTAGCTCCAGACGGGGCTGGGTAATGCCAACTTTCGCTGATCTCAGCGATGAAGAAGAAGAGACAGAGGGCAAGCATCGCCTTTTCTACCCTTGTGTGTTCTCAGTAGTGCCTGTCAGGGAAGCACGCCTCTTGCCATTTTGATTAAGAGTCCCCGTTTTCCCTCTATCATGAACACTCTTCTTATTGATATGAACCCTGGAGATATTTCTTCCTACATGGGCTCTCTTTGTTTCAATTTTGCTTCCTTTGTGATTCTTTGAATAATTGGGCTGAGCCCAAAAGGATCCTCTTAAGCTATATCCTCAGTGAAGCCCCCTGGCCATTCAGTAAACACTTTGGGACCATATTGGTCAGAAGCTAGCCCATCTAAACCAACCAAATGTTCACGAAAATCACAACATTGATTGGGGGCAATCATTTCACGTGAGCAATTATTGCCCAAAAGGGTGGCCGTATGAAGATCCTAAGTGAAGGCTAAGTTAACGTCTGAGTAATTAGGAGGTTGCATCAAATCTACGTTACAATCATTTCATGTGAGCAACATGATCAAACTGACCATAAAGATAGCAGGTGTGTGGAAGCTTCTCATAGCGTAGGTCCACCCACGACTTGTGGTTTGTTCTCCAGGGAGTCGCACTGGCATACACCTCCTACAAGACTTTGAGATGTCAATGCCTACTCTGTGTTGGCGAGTCCTTACTTAGTTAGGTTTTGGATTTCTTACTATGTTAGGATTTTGGTTACTTACCCATTTATCTAGTCCTATTATAATTGAGATTTATTTCCTATTGTAATTTATATTTATTTTCCATATTGGAGAAGAATAATAATATGAGCGTATCTTAGCATAACTGAATATTTGCCCTACTTTGTTTGACTTGGTATTAGAGCCAGGTTCTCTTGTGACCTGTGCTTGCATTCTTCTTCCAATTTAAGTGCTCTCCTCCCCTCCTCTTCAAAGGGGGGAGGGGGAGTGAAAAATATATATTTCTCATTCCCACGAAGATATTGCCTATTTCTTGAGTCTGACGACCCCTTCTTTTCAAGAGGAGAAAGGGAGTGAAGAGAAGTTATGTCTGCATGAATTAGGTAAAGTAGATATTGAGGAATTCTCCTTCACTTTGGCTGCTGTTATCGTTGCTATTGTTGTGGTCGATGTTTCCATAATTGATGTTGCCTTTGCTTGCTTCGCTTTCCATTGATGTGGTCATTGTCGTTGTTGTTGTTGTGGCCTTGCCCTTTGACTTTGTGTTCTGATCCGTCTCTACCTTAACCCTAAACACTACGTATTTCTGTTACACTATACACCTAGCCTATAATCCTAGCCCGCAACCACTATCTATCTTGCTACCATGTTGCCACATACCTTGCTACCGTCGTGTCTGTGTTCTGTATCTACTGTTGTGCTCATAAAGCTTCTGTGTTTTGCCTTATCTACTGCTGTGCTCATAGGGCTTTTGTGTTCTGCCTTATCTACTACCGTGCTCACAGGGTTTTTGTGTTCTGCCTATCTAATGTTGTGCTCATAGGGCTTCTATGTTCTACCTTATCTACTGTCGTGCTCACATGGCTTCTGTGTTCTGCCTTATCTACTGCCGTGCTCACATGGCTTCTGTGTTCTGCATTATCTACTGCCGTGCTCACAATGTTTCTGTGTTATGCTATGTGACCTATTTTTTAGGGTTTGCTCTTGTATTTCAGTTGTGAACTTTGCTTTAGTTTGTCACTTGTTTCACTCGTCGTTGACAAAAAGACCTTCTCTACAGTTGGTGTTTCTCAAGTATGGTGTTCTATGACTCGCTTGTCAAGTTGGGGGTGCGAAATATCTTTGCCCAACTTGAGGGGGATTGTTGGCGAGTCCTTACTTAGTTAGGTTTTGGGTTCCTTACTATGTTAGGATTTTGGTTACTTACCCATTTATCTAGTCCTATTATAATTGAGATTTATTTCCTATTGTAATTTATATTTATTTTTTATTGTAATTTGGATTTATTTCCTATTTTATTTAGGGTTAACACATCTTTGTACTTGTATAAATACCTCCATATTGGAGAAAAATAATAGTATGAGCGTATATTAGCATAACTAAATATTTTCCCTACTTTGTTTGACTCTCTGATGCACAGATAACTTCCGTAGCAATCACTCATTTTCCTTTTATCAGTGACTACAAAGTCACCCACTGCAGTCTCTATCTCTTTTCCCATAGCTCTCGTCATGTAAACTAATGGAAGCCCATGAACCTAAATCCAAAACTCATGTTTGTGCAAAGGAATACGGGAGGGGTTTACCACGTCATCCTCTTCACTAATCACCAGCACATAGTGGTTGAAGGTCCAAGTTCCCCCTTAGAATTCTCGCTCTATCTTGTTGTGAGGAGAAAGAAAACATGAACAAATAATCCTCCAAGGTCACAATCTCCACCCATGCCTTTGGTCTCCATAGTGTCGCCACAGCGTGCTTAAACGCCTCCTTGTTGAAAGGTTTCTTCGTGAGCACTTTGCCGACTAGGACAAACTTTGTAGTTCGAAGCAGACCAGCATTACCTCCTGTTGGCGTGACTTGTGGATATTGACTTACTTTCCTTACACAGAAAGAATTCCTATTATAATTGTAATTGATTTACTTTAATTCCTTATTTCCCACTGTAAATGGATTTATGAATTTATTATTTACTTGCCCATTCAAGTTTTGTTGTATTATAAATATGACCTCCTACAAGGAGAAGAACACACAGAAAATTTCCACAAAC